GAAACTAGAAATCAACTACAGGAAGAAAACCAGAAAAGCCACAAAAATGTGGAGATAAACAAAATGCTACTGAACAATGATTGGGTCAATGAAGAAATCAAAGAAGAAATCAAAAAATTCCTGGAGACAAATGAAAATGAAAACACGACATGCCAAAATCTGTGGGATACAGCAAAAGTGGCTCTAAGAGGGAAGTTTACAGCAATTCAGGCCTACCTCAACAAAGAAGAAAAATCTCAAATAGACAATCTAAAAGCGCATCTAAAGGTACTGGAAAAAGAACAACAAACAAAGCCCAAAATCAGCAGAAGGAAGGAAATAATAAAAATCAGAGCAGAAATAAACGAAACAGAGACTGAAAAAACAGTAGAAAAAATTAACGAAACCAAGAGCTGGTTCTTTGAAAAGATAAACAGAATTGACAAACCCTTAGCTAGAGTCACCAAGAAAAAAAAAGAGAGAAGGCTCAAATAAATAAAATCAGAAACGAAAGAGGGGAGATTACAACAGACACCTCAGAAATACAAAAGATAATAAGAGAATACTAGGAAAAGCTAGATGCCAACAAATTGGATAATCTAGAAGAAATGGATAAATTATTAGACACATACAACCTTCCAAAACTGGACCAAGAAGAAGCAGAAAATTTGAATAGACCAATCACCAGTAAGGAGATTGAAACAGCAATCAAAAACCTCCCCAAAAATAAAAGTCCAGGACCAGATGGCTTCCCTGGTGAATTCTACCAATCATTCAAAGAAGACTTAATACCTATCCTTCTCAAACTCTTCCAAAAAATTGAAGAGGAAGGGAAGCTTCCTAACTCCTTCTATGAAGCCAACATTATCCTGATACCAAAACCAGACAAGGACAACACAAAAAAAGGAAATTACAGGCCAATATCACTGATGAACATCGATGCAAAAATCCTCAACAAAATACTAGCAAATCGAATACAACAATACATTAAAAAGATCATACATCATGATCAAGTGGGTTTCATTCCAGGGACGCAGGGATGGTTCAACATCCACAAATCTATCAACATGATACACCACATTAACAAAATGAAGAATAAAAATCACATGATCCTCTCAATAGATGCAAAGAAAGCATTTAACAAGATACAGCATCTATTTATGATAAAAACTCTAAATAAAATGGGTATAGAAGGAAAATACCTCAACATAATAAAGGCCATATACGACAAACCCACAGGAAATATCATTCTCAATGGAGAAAAATTGAAAGCTATCCCTCTAAGAACAGGAACCAGACAAAGATGCCCACTGTCACCACCTTATTTAACATAGTATTGGAAGTCCTAGCCAGAGCAATCAGGCAAGCAAAAGAAATAAAAGGGATCCACATTAGAAAAGAAAAAGTGAAACTGTCACTCTTTGCAGATGACGTGATTTTATATCTAGAAAACCCTAAACATCCCACTAACAAACTTTTAGAAACAATAGAGGAACACAGTCAAGTTGCGGGATACAAAATCAACATACAAAAATCGGTTGGGTTTCTATACACTAACAATGAAGTAGCAGAAAGAGAAATTAAGAATACAATCCCAATTACAATTGCAACAAAAAGAAATAGCTAGGAATAAACTTAACCAAAGAGGTGAAAAATCTGTACACCGAAAACTATAAAACATTGTTGAAAGAAATTGAAGAAGACACAAAGAAAAGGAAAGATATTCCGCGCTCTTGGAGTGGAAGAATTAAGATTGTTAAAATGCCCATACTTCCTAAAGCAATCTATAGATTCTACGCAATCCCTATCAAAGTTCCAACAACATTTTTCACAGAAATAGAACAAAGAATCCTAAAATTTATATGGAACAACAAAAGACCCCGAATAGCCAAAGGAGTCCTGAGAAAAAAGAACAAAGCTGGAGGAATCACACTCCCTGATTTCAAATTATACTACAAAGCCATAGTAAGCAAAACAGCATGGTACTGGCACAAAAACAGACACACAGATCAATGGAACAGAACTGAGAGCCCAGAAGTAAACCTGCACGTTTATGGACAGCTAATAGTCGACAAGGGAGTCAAGAGCATACGATGGAGAAAGCAGAGTCCCTTCAATAAGTGGTGTTGGGAAAACTGGACAGCCACATGCAAAAGAATGAAAGTAGACCATTCCCTTACACCATGCACAAAAATCAACTCAAAATGGAGTAAAGACTTGAATGTAAGACCCGAAACCATGAGACTTCTAGAAGAAAACATAGGCAGTACGCTCTTTGACATCAGTCTGAGCAGCATATTTTCAAGTCCCATATCTGACCGGGCAAGGGAAACAAAAGAAAAAATGAACATATGGGACCACATCAAACTAAAAAACTTCTGCACAGCAAAGGAAACCATCAACAAAACGAAAAGACAACCTAACAATTGAGAGAAGATATTTGCAAACCATATATCAGATAAGGGGTTAATATCCAAAATATACAAAGAACTAATACAGCTCAACATCCAATTAGAAAATGGGCAAAAGATCTGAACAGAGATTTCTCCAAAGAAGATATACGGATGGCCAACAGGCATATGAAAAGATGCTCGACATCACTAGCTATCAGGGAAATGCAAATCAAAACTACAATGAGGTATCACCTCACTCCGGTCAGAATGGCTATAATTAACAAGACAGGAAACAGCAAATGTTGGAGAGGATGTAGAGAGAAGGGAACCCTTGTTACACTGCTGGTGGTAGTGCAAACTGGTACAGCCACTATGGAAAGCAGTATGGAGTATCCTCAGAAAACTAAGGATAGAGCTACCATATGATCCAGCTATCCCACTGCTGGATATTTACCCAAAGAACCTGAAAACACAAAGGCGTAAGGATACTTGCACCCCTATGTTCGTTGCAGCATTATACACAATAGCCAAGACTTGGAAGCAACCTAGGTGCCCATCAAGGGATGGATGGATAAAGAAGATGTGGTATTTATACACGATGGACTACTACTCAGCCATAAGAAATGATGGAATCCGGCCATTTGTGACAACATGGATGGACCTTGAGGCTATTTTGCTGAGTAAGATATGTCAGAGGGAGAAAGTCAAATACCATATTATCTCACTCATAAGTAGAAGATAAAAACAACAAGAAACAAACACATAGCACTGGAGATTGGATTGGTGGTTACCACAGGGGAAGGGGGAAGGGGGGAGGGCAAAAGGGGTGATTAGGCTCACATGTGAGGGTATGAACTATAATTAGTTTTCAGGTGGTGAACATGATGTAATCTACACAGAATTTGAAATATATTATGATGTACAGCCGAAAATAAATAAATAAATAAATTAAAAATAATAAATAAATAAAATGTAAAAAAAACTTACCTCAATCAACATAAAGAAGGAAACTTTTTTTTTTTTGAGGAAGATTAGCCCTGAGCTAACATCTGCTGCCAATCCTCCTCTTTTTGCTGAGGAAGACTGGCCCTGAGCTAACATCCGTTGCCCATCTTCCTCTACTTTCTATGTGGGGCACCTGCCACAGCATGGCGTGCCAAGTGGTGCCATGTCCGCACCCGGGATCTGAACCAGCAAACCCTGGGCCACCAAAGCGGAACATGCAAACTTAACCGTTGCGCCACCAGGCTGGCCCCAAAAAGGAAACATTTTATTTTACTTCTACTGTTACTGCTACAAATACTTTGCTGCTATTGCAGCTGCTGGCTACTGAGCATTCACCACACACTATTCTAAGAACTTTATGTGTCACTCAAACCTCAACTAACTTTAAGAGTTAGCCACTACTATTTTTCCCTTTTGGTAGATGAGAGATTTGAGGCTTGGAGAGGTTAAACAAGTTGCCCACAGTGACACAGCTGTTCACTGGCAAGAGTGAGGATTTGAATGGGGCAGCCTGACCCCAGAGCCCATGCACTTCACAACTCCATTGCACTCGCTACACAGGGCAAGATCAAATACAGGAACGGAAGCAAATCAAGGCTGGGTTACAGCTCTCCTTACATTCACTGCCCACACTTTGGTACAGTTTTTTCTTGTTGTAAAGAGAGACAAGGAAGAAAAAGAGAATGGATAAATGTCATTTTTCCCCCAAACAAAATGATGTCTGAGAAGTCTCTAGAGCCATTAGCTGGTAAGAGTAGTAGAAATGTCAAATAATAGTAATGGATAGGACATGTTCTGGGTTTGGTTTTGTGCAAACGTTTCCTCTCATTATCCAGTCATGGGAGGAGAAAAGCGCACGTACTCCAAATCACATGTTTTACTGCAAATGGACTTCTCAGATAATCTCTATTTAAAACTAAACAAAACCCAACATATTTCACACGGTAGACTATCTGCAATGGAAACGAATTATCCGCTCGCCACAGTCTCAACACTAACTGCCCATTAGAATAACCTGGAAAGATTTTTCAAACCCCAAAGCCCAGACAACAAAGAGATGCTGATGAATTGGTCTAGGGTGGGGCCCAGGAAGTGGTAGTTTCTAAAAGCTCTCCAAGTGAGTCTAATGTGCAGCCAGCGCTGAGAGTCACAGCAAGCCAGCGATGCTAAGAGGCTTTCTTCCCACGTGGCTCTGTCCGGCACTGGCCACGTAACCCTAGGGAAGTTATTTCACGTTCCTCAGCCTGAGCTTTTTTACCTATAAAATGGGGATAACAAGAGTACCAACCCAACGAGGATTAATCGAGATAAGACACAGAGCACTGAACAGGGTCTGGGACACAGAACACTCAAATATGGTGCTAAGGACGGTGATGGCGAGGATGATGCTGATGTGATCTTTTGGCCTGAGCTTGGTCCTGTAACACGGTTCTCTGCCCCAGAAAGCAGAGACCATCACTTCAACCCAAGCAGGCTTTGATCATCTTTACCATGAGCTCGCTTACCTGAATGAACCTCCAGAACCAAATATAACTTGTAGCTCATGGTGGGATAATATTTAGGTCCCTAGAGGGGATGCATTGCCTCGTAACTGTAGTCTACAACATAAAGGAACTCACTCACCTGGGATTGAAATGAATTTTCTCAGGAACTTCCCTGGGGTCTGTGACCACTTTCTGGTTGTCTCTATAATCAACGGGGTCATCAGGGATGCTAAATTTAGCCATCTGAATTTCAGAGTCACTCAGTCCAGCATGGGAGATTCTTGCATAACCCAATCTGTGGCAGAAATAGAAATGCTTTGTAAAGGTTTTATCATCATACAGAAATCTGATGAGATACCCTCATTATTAGCCAATTTCCCATTTCTAACTCTACCTTGTACATCACTAGAATTAATTTGATTTAATACTCTAAATATTTATCAAAATATTGCTTTTATGATATAAATGAATAAGGAACATGCACATAGATTTAATTAACTAAACATACTTGACAACTTTACTCTACTTTTTTACACCAATGAATATTCTGCCTACACAAATTGCCTCTTACACAATTATGTTTTGAGTCAATAACAAGAATTCTTCAGAATGATAGGAGCGTATGCCTAAATCATTTCTTACCTTTAAAAATCCAAATACCACATGCAAATTTCCATCCATGCTAACAAGTCTAAAATAACAGATTTTATATATCTGAAAAAATGGCACATCCTGGTTTTGCTTAGAGCTTTCAGTTCTCCAGAAAATCAAAGCACTTTATGGATGTTATCCAAATAATTATGGAGAAGCTCAGGTGGAAAAATGAGAGAATTGTGAGCAGCCAAGAATTCCTTTCCTTTTCTTTGTTTTTGTTTTTGTTTTGGTGAGGAAGATTGGCCCTGAGCTAACATCTGTTGCCAATCTTCCTCTTTTTTTTTCCTCCCCTCACCCTTGGTACATAGTTGTATATCCTAGTTGTATGTCCTTCTAGTTCTTCTATGTGGGATGCCACCACTGCATGGCTTGACAAGCAGTGTGTAGGTCTGCACCCAGGATCCAAACCGGCGAAACCCAGACCACTGAAGCGGAGCAAGGGAAGTTAACCACTACACTACCTGGACGGCCCCAAGAATTCATTTTATTTTATTTATATTTTGCCTCTTCAAAAGAAATAATTTGGGGCAGGCCAGGTGGCGCAGCGGTTAAGTTCTCATGTTCCGCTTCTCGGTGGCCCAGGGTTCGCCGATTCGGATCCTGGGTGAGGACATGGCACCGCTTGGCAAAAAGCCATGCTGTTGTAGGCGTCCCACATATAAAATAGAGGAAGATGGGCATGGATGTTAGCTCAGGGCCAGTCTTCCTCAGAAAAAAGAGGAGGATTGGCAGTAGTTAGCTCAGGGCTAATCTTCCTCAAAAAAAAAAAAAGAGAGAGAGAGAAAGAATTGTTAGGGGCCAGACCGGTGGTGTAGTGGTTAAGTTTGTGCAATCTGCTTTGGTGGCCTGGGGTTTACAGATTCAGATCCCAGGTGCACACCTACGTATCACTCATCAGGCCATACTGTGGTGGCATTCCACATACAAAATAGAGGAAGATTGGCACAGATGTTAGCTCACAGATAATGTTCCTCAAGCAAAAAGAGGAAGATTGGCAACAGACGTTAGCTCAGGGCCAATCTTCCTCATGAAAAAAAGAAAGAAAGAAAGAATTGTCAGCTTCAGTCATTCATTATTCAGTGAACAAGTATATATGAAGTCCCTACTACATGTAGGCATTGTTCTAGGTATGGGGGATAAACTGAACAAATCAAAGCCCTTGCCCTCATAGAGCTTTCATTCTAGTTGAGGAGGACAAATTAAATATGCATGTATGTGTGTATAAAGTCTATCAGGTGGTGATAAGAGCCTGAGCACTAAGGGGGCATAAACAGAGGAAAGAGGGTGGGGAATGCTAGGTGGCAGAGGTCGCTATTTTATGGTGGATGGTCAGAGCATCCCTCTCCGACAAAGTGACATTTGAGCAAAGAACTGAATGAAGTGAGGGAGCAGACATACAGATATCAGAGGAAAGGAGTTCTAGGGAAAGGGGACAGCAAATGCAAAGGTTGGGAGGTAGAATGTGCTCCGCTTTTTTGAGGACCAGCTCTGCAACGACTGGAGTGGAGTGCATAAGGGGGAACCTGAGTTTGCATAGGGAGTGGGGGTGGCAGATGATGCAAACCCTTGCAGGTTGCTACAAGGACTTCAGATAAGTTCTGAGAGTGTGATGGGAACGCAGAGGCTTTTGTGCAGAGATGCGATGGCTACCGTGTGGAGAACAGACTCCAGGCAAAGGGTGGTAGCCAGGAGACCAGTTAGGAGGCCCCTGCAATAATTTAGGTGAAAGACGCTAGGGGCTTGGGCCAGGGTGGCAGGAGGAGGACCTTAAAACAAAGCCTGCAATGACTTGAAAAATAGTGACAGAAACTCAGAGCCAGGCAAGCGGAGACAGCAAGTCTGCCTGCCGTGAAGGGTAAGAGAAGAGCAGTGATGGCAACAGAATGGGGTCCAAGCTGTCCGACAGGTTGGTGTACTTGTCTAAGCTCAGGGCCCAAATCCATGCAGGTCCCTGTCCCTAGTAAATCTAAGTTATTTATTTCCCAAATCTCTACGATCAAATTCTAATCTGTTTCATAGATACTGCCTTCAAAGGAGCTTCCCAAAGTCCTTGAAAATGAGGAAACTGAAAATCCAATCTTCTACTAAAACAGGGGATCTCTCCCTGTGGTCCAGTAAGTATATATTAAGTGCCTACTAAGTGCAGGACACTGAATTAGATGACTGAGATAAAGCCTACAGAATTGGTTTGTGGACAGAAACTGAAAAACAGTTGTCCCTAACTTCATTAATTTGGGTATTTTCAAAATTACCTTCCCAGCTGCTGTAGACTGAATGCTTGTGTCCCCCCAAATTCATATGTTGCAGCCCTAACCCCCTGTGTGGCCATACTGGGAGATGGGGCCTCTAAGGAAGCAAATGAGTTAAATAAAGTCACAAGGGGGGGACCCTGATCCAACAGGATTAGCGTCCTTATAAGAGGAGATGCAACAGAGCATGTGTGCTCACGTGTGCTCTTTCTCTCTGTCTCCAGCACTGTGAGAAAATAAATTTCTGTGGTTTAAGCCAGCCAGTCTATGGTATTTTGTTCTGGCAGCCGGAGCTGACAAATATACCATCTTTGACAGTCACATTTAGTGTACACACACACACATATAATCTGCCATCCCACTCTCCTAGGGAGAGGCAATAAAGGTCTCGGGCCACCAATGTACAAAGAGAGCCCAGGGATTAGCAATTAGGGGCACTGGTGCTATAAAGACCACTGTTCCTCGGCAACTAGCACTTTTGACAACTTGAACTTAGACCTATCTCACTCTATATCATAAACTGATTTCTGGAAATTCTAATATCCCTATTAAAACACTTTAATTTCAATTTAAACAGAAACAGTGTTTTCAATCTGAGGTATCGAATACTTCACAAACCTAACACTTCGGCACACTCCCTCCCAGCTTAGCCCTTTGGGGATACCAAGATAATAGTCAAGCCATCTCTCCTGCAGCCACGTGGGCATGTGCTAAGTTTCTTTTTAGAGTTTCTGAATTATTAATATAACCGGAAGGATCTTAGCATCTTGAGGGCCTCCTTGGCTCACCTCAGTAAGCATATGAACTGATGGAGTCATCCAGGAACCAAAAAAGGCCACCATTTTACTAGGTAACATCCAAAGTCCTTAGTAAGAGTCCCCAGGACCTTACGTGCTCCCCTCCCTCCCTGCCTGTACACTCCCCCTCACCTCCTCTACCACCATCCCACCTGCACACACTCCAGCCCCACTAGCCTCATTTTTCTTCAAACATATCAGCACTCCAGCATTTGGGCTTTTGCACTAGCTGGTCCTTATACCTGGAAGGGTCTTCTCCCAGGTAGCAAGATGGCCCACTCCTTCAAATCTCAGCTCCAATGTCATCTCAATAAGACCTACCAATCCTCCTATTTACAATCACAACCCCACCTCCATATTCCAGATGCTCCTTACCCTGCTCAACTTCTTCCCACCACACTCATCACCTCCTAAAATATGCTATCATGGCATTACTGATTCCATCATGCCAATCATTGTCTATCTTCCCTCTGCCAGGGTAAGGATCCTTCTCCGTTTTGTTTACTGCTATACCCCCAGTGCCTGACATGCACTGTGCTCCATCTATACTAGTTGAATGACAAATGGAGTAAAGAACAGGAGAACCTAACAGTTTGCTTTCACTGGGCTATAACGCAGAACTGAACAAGCCATATCTCCAATAGGAGAGAAGTCGACCCTGCAATTCTATTTTATTCCTAGAAGGCAACCATTTTCCTTCATAAATGTAGACCACAGATCTCAGAATATAAGCTTACTTAAGGAGTGATCAGGTCAACATCAGCCCGTCTTCCGGTAGGCAATGCCAAGACTCCTCTGGGTGATGAAGTGCTCTGTACGGAGAGGGGACTAAGGCCCAGAGAGGTCCATCTTAGAAGCCCACAGTAGAGTTCCCAGCACCGTCCCAAGGAGGGTAGTCAGAGGCCTCAAGTCAAACATCTCCAAACAGATTCTGTACTAATAGGAGGAGCCTGGTGAGTTTCGGGGATGGCCTCCAGCACGTTCCCTCCACTGAGGAACCCTGAAAGTGGAGGGACCTGTGAATCAAATCACTGTCTAGATGATCTGCCCCCCTTGCCTCTCTCATGTCACCTCCCATCTCACTCTACTCCAGGCACGCAGGCCTCCTTGCTATTATAAAAACACCAAGCCAGCTCCACTCAAATTCTGTACCTGCTATTCCCTCTGTCTCGAGAGCTCTTCCAGGATATAGGCAGTTGGAATCCCTCATTCCAGTCGGGCTGCCGCCTGGACATCACTCCATCAGAGACGCTACTCTGTCCATTCTATGTAACACACCACAGCCACCCCCGGTACCCTCATCCTTCTTACCTGGTTTCATTCTTCTTTTTCAACACATTTATCACCACCTCTCCTATTCTATTTCTTATGTGCTTATTTTCTGTCTTTTTCCACTGGAATGGAGGCTATATGAACAAGGATTTTGTTTTGTTCCTCTTATATCCCCACTGCCTAGAAGAACACCTGGCACATAATAGGTATATAATAAATACTTGTTGAATAAATGAATGAATGAAAGAATGAATGGTCAGTCCCTTTTTTTGGTATTAAACTTTTCTTCACTTTATTTAAAGAAAAAGTTAAAAAAGGAACTAATTGCTTCCATAAAGTTTTTCCTTTCAAGATAGACCTCAAAGATCCCAGTCAACAGATTAAAAAAAAAAACTAACAAACACCTATGCTCACCTGATCAGCCCTCGATACATAATGTATTCACACCATCTGTCTTGATCTGTGCTGTCAATATCCTAATAAAGAACAGAAAAGAGAATGTTTAAAGCATAAAAAATAGTGCTCTATTCTGAACTGCCAAGAAAACATGTGAGCTACAGTAATAAATACGGCTTTGTGCATGCTATTTTCTCGGTCTGGCTCCTACTGATCGGATAAGGTCCAAATTGTTTATTCATTCTACAGATATTTCTGGAGCACCTACTATGTGTCCATCCAGCCCCTGTACTAGAAGCTGGGAATACAAGGAGGAAAGTGGTCTAGATCCGGAGCGAGGCAGGTAAATCAGCGGTTACAATACAGTCGCTGGCTCCCTACAGCTTTCCAGGTCCCTCATCCCAAGCAGAATTTACGGCATCCTCATCGGTCATCCTATGCAGTACTTTCTGCACACCAGCTACACCATTCTGTACAGTTATTTGTTTATATGTCTCCACCCTCCCCTCCTGAGCAGAGGGATTCTTAATCACTTTGGCTCCCTGGTACTTAGCATGAAGCCTGGCATTCGGCAGGCACTCAATCTGTGTTTGTTAAATTGAATCACTGGAAATAAACACATTTGGGAAGTAATCATGAGTCTTTTTGATGTTGAAAGCTTGAGACCAGGGTTATTTTTCATCAGAGAACCAGAACATAAACATGTTCTTTTTCTATAACGTGTTGGGAAAACTCTCAATATGGAGCTTTTATACTGAAGAAATTTCCATTTTCTACTTTTAAAACATCTCATAAATAAAAAACACATCTGACTTTTTCCCATTTCTCAATTTTACTATTAAAATTTAATTTAAAACGTATTTTAAATACATAATTTAAAACAATGTCCTGCCTGGTGGTGCAGCAGTTAAGTTTACCCGTTCTACTTTGGCAGCCTGGGGTTCACTGGTTCGAATCCCAGGCATGGACCTACACATCACTTATCAAGCCATGCTGTGGCAGGCATCCCACATATAAAGTAGAGGAAGATGGGCATGGATGTTAGCTCAGGGCCAGTCTTCCTCAGCAAAATAAGGAGGATTGGCGGCAGACACTAGCTTAGCACTGATCTTCCTCAAAATAAAAAACCATATTTTTAAATCACTAAAAGAATACACCACAATTTATTATCTATTTCTCAATTTTTTTTCATAAGCTTAGTGGTGGACACATGGATGCTTGTTAATTAATCTTTTCGATTACTCTTATATCACACACATACATAGGCCTTTTGTATACATGAAAAAATTATAATAAATGTTAAACATTAAATTAAAAAAATTTAATGATGAAAAAGCAAATAAATTGAAAGTACTGTTCTGATTTGCCTTGGGAAGAAATAAAAATTTAGTCATTCTGCTGTATATATTAGGAATAATAAATTATGAATATGTTTAACTATCATTTTATTTTACTAGGTTTTTAGAAGATGCTGTCAAATTTTAAGATGGCAGAATTTAAATACTCATTTCTTAAAGAGAAAAATCTGTTCATCCAAGCATTTATGATTAAAATTGCTCTCTGCATTAATAAACTTCCCAATAGAAAAAAGCCATATAAGAATCCACTGCCAGTCTTGACACAGCTTCTGACTGTGACAGTGGAAACCAACAGAAGATTAAATAAAAATCAAATAAAATTCCTCTTTCCTAACACCATGCATATCCCTTACACACACACGCACACACACACACAATGTAAGAATCCTTCCCTTATTATGATGTGATTTTTCCTTAGACTTGCCAAATATCATCTTGTCTAATATTCTTTTGTACTTTATAGACCGTGTATTTGGACATTTATCTTATTTGATTTTATACATACAGCCAGACGCACATAATATGTACATATAGCTACCACTCATCGAGTGCCTCCTACATACAAGGCTGAGGACTTTGCAGGCATTATCTTATAGTCCATCCTCATAACAACCCTACGATACAGTAGATATTACCATCACCACTCTACACATGTGGACGTTGAGGTCCACAGACCTCAGTCCCCAGAAAGGTGAAATAATTTGCTCCAAGTTCACACAGCTGAGAAATACAGCACCAGCTACGCTAGTGAACAATGAGAGACCATACAGAGAGGGAGCCCCAGCCAAGAACCAGCACCAAAGCCACAGACGTGAGTGGGGCCATCTTGGACCCCCCCAGCCACAAGCGAGCCACCAGCTGACTGCACGAGTGAATCCAGGCAAGAACAGAAAACCACCCAGTCGACCCACAGAAGCAGGAGACTATTAAACCACTGCTGCTTAAGTCACTAAGGTTTCAGGTGGTTTGTTACACAGTGATAAATAACTAACACAACCTCTGTGATTCCACACTCTCCAGATTTTCCCTTTACTCTTCTGACCTTTCCTTAATCGCTGTCCTGAGATAATCTCCCTTCTCTTCCCTCACCCATCACCCCCATGATAGCCACATTAAATGTGGCTTTATCAGGGGTTTTCTTTCGTCTTATTTTTGCAATTCTCTAATCTCATGAGCAATGTTATCTGTTTCCATGGTTTCAACGGTCAGCTAGATGATGTCACCTCCTTAATCTGTATCTCTAGTCCTAGTTGCCCTTCTCAATTCCAGATCCACATATCCAGCTGCCTGATGGCAATTTCCATTAATATCCCACAGATACCTCAACTCAACCTAAAGCTGAACTCATCATCTTCTTTGCAAAATTCTTCTTACTTATGAATTTCCTATAATAACAAATGTCACCATCATGAGCTCTCTGACTAAAGCCAAAATCCGGAGTCTGTACTGGCCACACTTTCTGCCTTATCCTCTAGGGCAGAGATGAACTCATCTCCCCAGTATCTGCCTGGCCCTTCTTCCAAAGGTGTAGTATTTTTAACTAGGTATCGAGGTTAAATATTGCAACTCCCAACTTCCTGTATGGTAGGGTGTGGCCATATGACTAAATTCCAGTCAATAAAATATAAGTACAAGTGCTGGAGGTCAGTTTCCTGGAATTTTCCTTTAGAGATTTCTTGCATATGCTCTTGGCCCCTTCTTTATCCTTTCCTCTGTCTTGCTAACTAGAACACGGATGTTGCCATCTTGGACTGGGAGGCAAACTTGGGAATGGAGGCCTCATAAAGTGGAGCCCCAAGACAGAAGGAGCACACTCCGGATACCACAGGATGCCACACCAGTGCTGACTCACCTGCCCAGACTTCTACATAAATATACTTCTCTTAGTTAAACCACTGCCATTTTGTGTTTTCTGTCTCATGGAGAAAACCCTCATCACACCATGCTCTCTCTCACCTATCTTTCAAAGCACTTGATAAGATGGATAAGCTTTTTTGTCTGCAGATATTATCTCAAGACAATGAAGTCAAAAATAAAATGTAAAGGACCAAGAAATCTACTTAGGGCTTAACTAAATATAACAATTATATTTCTCATTATAAATTAAGGCATTTAACATTCCAGTTGTACAGCATATATCATATAGCAGTCTCCAAGATTTGATTTGTGTGTCAGTTCCCCAGAGCATGACTGTATCTGGGTACAGTGACAAACTCGACTGTTTTGGATCTGAACAGGTAAGTTCTAATTCAGTGTCATTTAGTAAGGCCCTGTCTGGCTGGTCAGCCAGCCTGTCTGTGTGCCATTTCATTTCATCTTTTACTCTCAGCATCATAATTAACTTGCATAACGTGGCAGATTGTATTTTCTAAACATGGCTAGAGTAACTGACTTTCCATATGGTATTCTTATAAAGTGACTTAGATACTCGTTGATGGAGTTTATGTTTCTCTCACTTGAATGTGAGCAAGCTGTGACAATGGCAGAAGTCACACTACATGACTTACAAGGCTAGGTCATACAAGGCAATACAGCTTCTTCCTGGTTCTCTTGGGACACACACTCTTGGAAGCCAGCCATCATGCAAGGAGGAAGTCCAAGTAGCTCATGGATGCCACCCAGGACCCCAAGCCCAAAGCCCCAGGGGATCTTGTATTCAACAGCCAGCAACTTGCCACTTCTGAGTCATCTGCAAAATGGCTCCTGCAGGCCCCAGTGGAGCCATCTAGCGGCACGGAGCAGAAATGAGCTGTCCCCACTGAGCCCTGTCCAAATGGCAGATTCATGAGCAAATAGATGACTACTGTTATTTAAAACCAGTATGTTTTTCAGTGGTTTTCTATGCACCAGTAGGTAATCAGAATACATATTAAATAGTTGGAGTGGGATTTTTTTTTAAACATGGAGAAACATTTTACTTAATAAATCAGAAATCGTATTAAGATTGTGTTACCTTCACATTACCGTGTTCAACAAGCTGCAGATAATCCCTGGAACCAGGTGCTGAAGTGACATATCCCAGAAATATCACTCGATTAGAGCTACTTTTCAGTAGTTTTGAAACAGCAATAGCCTGAAGTTTCCTGTCGAGGTCATCTCTAAAAAAATGCAAAAATGTAGCTCTTTATCGTATTTGCAAAAACAATTTTTAAAAAGTCTTAGGTTCCTAAGTTCCCAAAGAATATCTTCAAGCAGTGCACAAACCCAGAGTCACTCCTGCTTCGGCAAATGTCTTAATGTACAAACGAACAAGGCAGAGACACTGTTTCCACAGAGTAAGCCAACAAATTCTGACTAAGAACAACATGATCTGTCCCCACAAATCATTTGGAATCGAGTTGATTTAAATATCAACTCTAAAAATAGCATTTGTTTGATTTTTCATCAGACCTGGTCATCAGTATGACATCTAAAGACTAGTAGTCAAAAAAGAAAAAAAAAAGATCCTAAAGTACTGGTAGAGGGAGAATCCTAACCTTCACAGAACATACCAGGCTTATATAACCTACTCAGCTCCTTCAGCTGAACACCTTCTAAAAGCCTCACTGGCTCTGCTGGTCAAATACTGGCTACACATGATGTTTTTATTATGCTAAGCACTGCAGATGTATAACTGAGATAATTAGGCAGGTACATCAAACTTTTGGGTGGTTTATGGTCAGTCTGTTTGGGAAAAAATAGGCAGATCATATCTGACATGATGCAGCCAGGAAAACTGAAACCACTCTAGGTGTTTCAAACCAAGTGAATGTAACACTGGGAAATGATTAGCGAGGCGACGGGAAGTCAAACAGGAGTCAGTGAGGCAACCAGAGTTTAGCAACAATGAGAAACCAGTACCACTTCCAGGGCTAGAGGAACAGGGGGAGATGATATTCCCAGAGTCCAGAAGCCAGCCCTGACTGGAGATGGCACTACGGAGAACGCTGCCCAGAAGGAGCTGGGGCCACAGAAGAGATTCAGCTGCTGCGTCACAACAGACAAAGAAAAGAAAGAGAGAAGGAGAACTACCCTGCCTTCGTCCCGCCTCCTGCCCTCCACCTTGCACTAGTGCCTCCCATTAGTGAAACCCACCCAGGAGGCAGAAGGCAACAGACTCTGGGAAGTGTGGCTCCCTGCAGGGTGCAGCCGAGAGGGAGATGAGCCAGGAATGGATCGAAGAGCTAACAGGCAGTAGATCAACACAGGCGTTTACAGAGAAAGATAGCTAATAAATGATCGTTAAGAAAAAAAACAATGACAAAGGAAGACAGAGGGAGATCACCAAGGACTGAGAAGACCAGAGAAACCTCCCTGAGCTAAGACCCGAAGACAGAACTAAGCTTAGTAAGAATGTGTAGACAGCTGAGTACTATTAAAAGATGCCTCGAGAAACAGAAGAGTGAAAAGAATGACCATTTGTTAAACATCCTTGATACGGAATGCTCATAATAACTGAGAGGCAGGCATTAGCTCTATTTTTAAACGAGATTAAGAAACATACCTAAGGTGATTTTCCATCTCCCCTGCCTACATCCATTCTTGGCCTACTCCATGCCCTGGGAGGCTGACCCCTGCGAACTTCATCTCCTGGGCTCCTTTGTCTGCTGATTTCCAGTTAGGTTTGGCCACTGGCGACACCAGGAGATGAAAAGGTGAGAGGAGAGAGAAGTCGGGGTATTTCTTCCCCAGTAGCTGCATTCCTCATGCCTAGGGGCCCTTCTTCCTGGCTCCAGATCTCATGGGGCCCTGGGAACACTACTCCCTCTGCCTGTCCCTTCAGCCCTCAGGATGGTAATGACTCCCCACTACTAGTTACTAGTAGTGTACACTAGTTACTAGTGTCTGAGTCACTCAACATTTCTCATCTGTTCCTCTGACCCTTCCAACATCTTGGTAAGTAGTCCCTTCATTAGGTCTGTTCCTTCCGATACATACAACCGACATTCAAATCTGGTCTAGAGAATTCCAAAGTCACTGCACCACAGATAGGGCTTTCATTCAAATATATTTTAGCAATATATAATTGGAAAATAATCTATGAATTTGGTCTTAAATTTTCTCAGGAGATAAATTTTATCCAGTAATAATAATAAGAATAAAAAGTATACGTATGGGTATAAAGAAAGGGGGGGAGAGAGGGAAAGAGAGAAGGCGAGGGAGGGAGGGTGAGAGAGGAAGGAAGAGAGAGAGAGAAAATACATTTTATGTTTCCTTATCTGTTAATATTTGATCAATATTTTGCCCAATAACCCTATTTGTGGGCTAAAAAAATAATTTTATCTGATTTTCAGAGACAAGAGAAACGAACTCTTGCAGATTATCTTACAACAGAACCCAAACTAACTACAGACTACAAGTTCTGTGCTCTTTCTTCTCTGTACATTTATGCAGAGAAATACATGAAAAAAAAAAAGAATGATGGTTCTGGTGGCTCAGTTAATTACCTAAAATTATCTCAGTTACGGTGTGTACCTAACTGACTTCTAAGGAATGTCGCTATTTCCTACTTATTGGTTGTACAGAGAAATTTGTGTAGTCAGTAATTTAGAAAATCTTGTTGAATCAGCCAACAACACGCATAAGCATTCTGTAATTCATTCCTAATATGATTTCATGTTTGTACGCCATAATCACCAGAAAATGAAATCTCTAAATATTTAGTCACAGGAAGAACTTTTTATCTAGTCTTGTAGAAAACAAAGGCAAGCAAAAATATGTAATGATGGCTTCACAAACTATTCGAAGATGAACTTTCTCATGTCGCTGGTTGGCAGGCCACAGTGTGCATGGACAGGGCTTCTAAGGAATGACATCAGAGCTGTGGCTCTAAGGGAAAAGACTATACCTCCTACTGTGCTTGGGAACAGCAGGTGCTTGATTTATGTTTGATGAATGAATTCTGTTTTGAGCTGCCCAATATACCTGACATTTAGAACTGGCTGATAAGCTTCAACAATGACCAGCGTTAACTGAGCACTTAGTGTATTCATGTACTTTGCATGAAGTAATATATCTCATTTAATTCTCCCAAGGACCCTATGATTTGGTAGGATTATTGTTCCTGACTTACAGATGAGGAAACCAAGGCTCAACGTAGATCAATAACTTGGTGAGAGGATATATCTTGAATTAGGATCGAAACCAGCTTCTCTAGCCCCAGGTTCTGGAACTCCATGCTTCTAACCATTAAACTATGTTACTCCTTGCCCTCGAGTTACATCTCCTCTGTAAGTGTTAGCTATTATTCTTACTGCTGTTGTTGTCATTATTATTAAATCAAGTGAGTAAGACAGCAACTAAAGGATACGGTGTTAACCAGAGAGTTTTAAATATGTGGTTCACAGAAAGTTAGCAAAGGTAATCCTTCTCTCATCTTTTCCAAACCACATTCTGAGGGCTAACTTTTTCTCTTCTCTTCCCTTTCGAGTGGAGGAGGCTGGAGGGAGTTGCAGGGAAAAACGCAAAGGAACAATGGGAAGGAGTGGACTCAACTGTTTCTTAGGTTGAGATTCTGCAATCTTTAAATACAAAAGTGCCTATTTTTTACAAGATAAACCTAATTCGAGTGCAACTTAAGGTCAGTGGAATGATTTTTGAATGCCTATACTTGCTACGTGAAAATTACCAGGACAAACAGAGGCATTTCCACAAACAGCTTATGAATAGGATATGAACCATCTATATTATCCATCCCCAAACACCCTTCTTATTTCTAAGGAGACAAGCAAGGGTCCAACGAGCAAAGGGCTCACATTAATGACATTTGGAGTTTGTTTATATTAATTATGCTCCAACTAATTTCAGAAAATATTCAAGTATGCTTTCACAGATCCATATAACACTGTGAGAAAAAGTGAGGTGACAGGAAAATAAGGGTAGCAGGCACATTAGTTTTGTTCAGGTGAAACTGACAGGACAACAACGTGGTTTTCCTAACGTTCTGTTTGTCACTTTAAAGTTCTGGGGCCTCTTGTGTCATTAACATGGACAGGATCTGTGCGTCATATTTTACAGCACTAAGCACTTACATTAGTGTTTTCAATTATTGTTACAGAACGTTTAGTATGGTAGAGCATAAATTATATACTTTTATCTTTGCTTTTACAATATATTGTTGGCATTATTCATGACTTTTTTTTAGGGCTAAGCGACTGGTTGTGAATGTTATTCTTTGGGGATAAACTCATTCCGCCTTCCTCGTGCCTCCTTGTAGAGCAACTTTCTTAGGAAACTATCTCTGGCCTCGCTTTTACTCTTTACTTTTTGGGAAGACTTTTCTAATTAATTAAGTTTGGAAGAATTAACCAGGCATGCTTGTCTCAAATCCTTCCTCTCTCTTCTCCTTGGAACCTCCCAGTTTGCAGACTGGGTGTCTTCTGGCACATTCTCTCCACCAAGGGGAGAGTTGGGCAGGGCAGACTCTGCCGCTGCTCTGTGGGTCTGCTGCTCTGGCGGAGCCGGTTTCGTGTACGTAACGGGATAGATTAGCAGGTCCATGTGGACACACTTAACCCATGTTGTCTACATAGGTTTATCAGAATTAAAAGAGATATTTGGCCTCCCTGCCAGATTCCTCAGCCTACCTATCAGCTGATTGTGACAGCACGAGGGGAAAAGGAATGTCATTTAGTACCCTCAAATCCCAACAGTACTCCCATTGTAGTGACCCTGTAGAAGGGAATTTCATTTTTCTGCAGTCTGGTTTGCCATGCGGTTCCAAGCACTTGCAGGCTCTGAGTTGGGTCTACCTAACTCCTAGCTGTGTGACCCTGGTTGGCCAAGTCATCTAACCTCCAGTTTTGTTTCTTTATTTGTAAAATGGGGCTACGATAGTACTAACTTTATACAGAGTGAAGATTAAATAAAAGAATGCACTTAGCACAGCACCTGCTCAGCAATTGCTGGCTAACATAGTCATCACTGCTGCCCTGTACCATCATTAAGGACTGCCTGCATCTCAAATGTTTTCATGCCTGATTTTTAAAACCAGCAAAACAGAAAAAAGATACTTTCGGAGAAAAAAAAGAAGAAAGAAATAAAAGTCAATGCACGGAAATCAAAGTAATGTGTTAACAGTGTTTCTTGGCCTTTGCGTACTATTAGAAAGACCAAAGAAACCCACTCGTGATTCCCAAAGTGTGTCACAACAAAATCCACCAGTCTGTCTGAGATGTTAACAGTCAGCGTTATGGCTGGTGCGATCTCGCCCTCTGGTGACGGAAGAAGGTGATGCTCTGATTTCACAATTGGGTATCTTGACAAAGCCATAATCCTGTATTGGAATGAAAAGAAACGTGCGTCACCGTTGGTCCCACCATATCATGCAGACAGGACTATGCAAATGCATTAAAAAGGGATGTGTCACACTTCAAGCATCTCACTGAGGGCCATTCAGAGCAATACTGTGGCGGAGATGTGTGTGGCAGTCTGACAGCTCACTGCATCTCTGCTATCCAGAACATCTCTGTGTCATTAATACAATGCTATCAACTCTGTTTTAATAAGCGCTATGGAGACACGAAAAGAGCAGAATTGGTAATACACAAAATCCATTTTACTTGCATTGTTACTCTGGCAACATGTGCGTAAACAATTCTAATATTAATCAACACATTTGGGAATGTACAATCTTGCTAGCAAGGACAGAGAGTAACAATTTACAAACTTAGAAATGACAAACTGTCCAATAAAGACATGAAAACATGTTTCACCTCATGCTAAGTCAAAGTACTACATACAAAAAAGACAAGCAGAGCTCAGACCTCAGCCGGCTTCTCTTCCCTGGCCGTGTGCACTACCGCTCTGGTGCCCTCGCGGAGTCCCTCCGACAGGGCCATCTCGACAGGGATAATACCAGAATTTACATGTCCAGGTTGTCCTGTCTCATTGGACCTCCAGGCTGCACAAAACTGCTTACTGTATGTCACTTGACTGTCCGAGGGCATCTCAAATTTAGCACAATCCTGCTGCTCACCTGGTCATTCCCATCTCATGAAACGGCCTCATCTCCTATCAGGTATTCTGGTAAAAAACCTAGATGTTACCCTTGTCACTTCCCGGCCCCTGACCAGGAACCATCAGTAAGTCATATCAGCTCTGTTCTAAAATAGCTCCTGAATTTGTCCCCTTCTCCCCATCTCCCCAGCTCCCACTGTCATCTCTCACCTGTGCTGGCACATCTACTTCATCACCTGTCTCCCTGCTCCCGCTCTTGCCCCCAACAATCTGTTCTTCTGGGAACATCCAGAATGATCTTTTAAAAAAGTAAATCAGGTCCGATCTCTCCCATGGGTTATAATCCCCCAGTGGTTTCCCATGAAAACGGAATTAAATCAGCCTAAGTATGGACCATGGGGCCCTCTAAGATCAGGTGCCCACGCCTGACCTCATCTTTTTACCAGTTCCCCCTCAATCCCCACATTCAGGCACACCAAGCTTGATCCTGCCTCAAGTCTATACTGGCGGTTCCCTCAGCTCTTCCCATAGGTCCCGGGGCCTTTTCATCATGAGGTCTTCAGAGAGACCCTCCTGACCACCCTACTTACAGCTGCACCCCCCATCGCCCCTGCCCACCCACTCACTTTCCTTTTCTACGTAGCACTTACTACTGTCTCAAATTATCTTATTTATTTCTGTGCACACATTTGTTTTCTGTCTCTTCACACCACAATGTAAGCTCCATGAGGACAGCATCCAAGCCAGACATGCTTGGTGCTGTAACCTCAGCTCCTACACTGAATGGTCTATAACGGTGAAGAATTGAAAATATCCAGCAACAGGGAAACCAGTAAGGCAATTACTGGAATTTGCACATCCTCAGCACCTCCTCATCCCCCAGGAAGCAGCCCTGGGGCAACTTGCTACTCCAGGCCTATGCTGCCTAGTCTTTCAGGGCTATGTTCAGCATTAATTCGCCAGGTACACTCACCCCCAAGTGTGATCCCTTGTGCTTGGACCAAAGTCGGTATAGAAACCCAACTTCTCCCCTAACCACATAGTTAAGTCATTGTTCCCAATAAAGGGCTTAGAAGCATCGCTCTCCAAAACTGTTATGAAATCTGCACCTGTTCAAAAAAAAATGCACATAGTGATTAAGTACAGAAATGCAAAAAGAGTTAGCAAAATTTGATTCTGTAACCCTTTGCCTTTACTCAGAAATCAAAAAAAAAATTCCTAATGAGTCACTAAAGTGGCTCAAATCTGAGCTACAAGGGAATTTTCCCATTTTTAGAATGTAATGAAAACATGGGACACCTTGAGGAAATGCAGGAAAGGATAAAAGTGTAACTTTTCTAAATCTTCAAATATTCTTAACATCTTTCCCAAAATTTCAAATAAGCTTAATGCCTCTCTCAAATACCCAATTTATGTTCAGAAACCATAGAGTGGTGCACAATAGTGTTTTATTCCTGGGCAAACACTTCTGTGATGTTGGCACGGAAATAAGTTTATTGGTTTTTTCAGACTCTGGCCAGATGTGCTTTAGAGGCCTATAATAAGGACTAAAGGACTAAGAGCCAAGGACATTTTTTAGCAGCATTAGAATCATACAGACCCTAAGCAGTTTCTCAGGAGACATGCTTATCAGCAGGCATAACCAGAACAGTTCAGCCCTTTACATATCTTGCTCCACGTTCCACGTAGTTGATCTAAGAACTCAACGCCCACATATTTTAAAGGATGCTTCATACAGAGATGAATGCACCCCAGGGCACGGAAACTTACAAATTGGCCCGTACGTTCTTGAAAGCAACTTGCTTGCAAACGAGCATCACCCTGACCCATTCTGCCTTTCAATCTGACAGTTTTCTGGTCCCCAACAGTGGGCCTCCAATTGACAGAAGCCACCAGCAAGGGCATCTCTAAGAGCAAAGGCATGACAAGAATCCCCTGCAGATACCCAGTATGAGGCTCTGTTCAGACTCAACTGAATTAATTGCTCTCAAACAGACAGATGTGGCTACAGAAGCTTAATCCTCCTGTAGATGCCCACCAAAGTAAAGCCTTTTTAAAAGATTAGTTTATGACCCAGCAAACCCTCCTCCTATTACTTATGATCTTGCTCAAAATAAAAGTAACAACAGTACCTGGAACTAAATCCAATAAGACTTACCTGTTTGACTGAGCAGTTGGGCTGATCTTTCTAGGCTAGACCATCCTTCATTGTCGTAGCCAAACCTGAAAGCCCAGATGGCGGCAGAGATCTCTGTGGCTGGTGCCTGAGGAATAGTTAATGGTAATTTAGGATAACTGAACAATGGCAGTTTCAGTGACCCAGTTATCTCCACCTCTCTCTTCCAAGATTCATATTTCAGCAACGAAATTTCCTTAGACATTTGCCCACGTTTAATTCATAAAAATAAGGAAATATTTGCTAGATGGTATTCTCATAATAAATCTTCTGTGAACTTCTAGCTTAAGCTTGGAAGGTAGGAGGACTGTTTGGAAAGTGAGCATTTATAATAAGTATTGTTTATAATAGCAAAAAATCCTAAACAATCTGGCTGTTGTTTCAACAGGAAAATGAATAAATAAATGGTTTCACAAACATATAACAGAATACTACACAGCCCTAATAAATGAGTTAGGACTACATATTTCCATATGGATGAATCTCACAAAGGTGATTTTAAGTAAAAACGTTGCAAAATATATACGTCAGATGTCATTTAGATAAAGTTAAAAACATGAAAGGAGCCAGCCCCATGGCTGAGTGGTTAAGTTCGCACGCTCTGCCTCGGCGGCCCAGGGTTTCACCGGTTCAGATCCTGGGTACGGACGTGGCACCACTCATCAAGCCATGCTGAGGTGGCATCCCACACAGCACAACCAGAAGGACCTACAACTAGAATACACACCTATGTACTGGGGGGCTTTGGGGAGAAGAAGAAGGGAGAGAAAAAAAGAAGATTGGCAACAGATGTTAGCTCAGGGGCCAATCTTTAAAAAAAAAAAAGGAAAAAACAATATTGTCTAGGGATATATAGTATGTACTAACAATATAAAGAGATGCATGAAAATGACAAACAGCAGATTCAGGATAGAGGTTACCTTTGCACTGGAGAAGACTAAGATCACAGAGGGGGATACATAGAGGCTTATAATATATTTGTACAGTGGTCTGCCAATATAACCGAGTTATAAATGGTGTCACTCCCCTACTGTACTGGCAAGGCCAAGGGACAGGAGCCCACCCCTTTGAGAGTTCCTCTTTTGGGTTCCTGGGCTCAGCCAGAGAATGCATTGCCCAACCCTAATCATCCACCTCAAACTAATACCTACTGGTCTACAACAGGGATCCTGCGAAAGAGTATGGCTGGATTAGCCAAACCCAACACCACAGTGAAAAAACAACTCAAAGTGGACCACACAAGTTCAGGTTGGGAGAAGGATAAGTAGCAACCGCTTTGCATAGGAGGGCTGCTACTTAACATAAACAGTTCAACATGCTACCGACAAAGAGCTGGGCATTTCATCTTTATACAAGAACATTATTCAATTTAGTGAATGTCATATAAAGAGAACAGAAACATCAACAGAGATTTCAGGAGGCACGATTATACTCATCAAGCTATCCCTTTTCACGTAACTATATGTCTATAATTAACTCCGGATTTCATTACTCCAAAACCTGTTATTCCCTCATTCTTCCCATGTCAGTAAATGTCACCACCCTCCATCCAGTTGCTTAAGACAAAAACATAGAAGTCATCCTTGATTCCTTCCTTCACCTCATCCAGCAACATCTAACCCATCAGCAGATCCTATGAGCTATACTTTCAAAATATATTCTCAGCCTACCTGCTTCTCTTCAACCCCACTGCCACTGGCCCATCCAAACTTCCACTGGGCGACTAAAAAAACCTCATAATTTATCTCCCTGCTTCCACTCTACACTCCATTCTTCAAAGAGCAGCCACATTGTTATATACCGTGTTTCTTCATGCTCCTGCTTGAAACACTCTGGTGGCTTCCACTGCAAGTAAAATCAAATCAGAACTGCTTCCTGTGCTCTGTAAGAGCTTCATCAGCCTCTCCATCCTCATCTTCTATCACTCTTCCCCTTGCTCACCAAACTTCAGCCCCACTGTCCGCTGATGCTCCTCAAACACACCAAGCCTGTGTCCCCTCAGGCGTTACACATGTTCTCTCCGCCTGAATCCTTTACCCCTAGCTCTCTGAACTGGCTTTTTCTCAACTTTCAAGTCTCAACTTAAATGTCACGTCCTCAGAGCAGCCTTCTCCAACCACCCGGACCCAGTTACTCTCTACTCCATAATCTTATTTGCTTCAGAGCAGCCTGATCTAAAGTGATAGCCTTTATCTATTTGTTCCTCTGAATACCGTATTTCTCCCCTACCAGAATGTAAACTCTATGAAGGCAGGGATCTTGTCCAACTTGGTTATCTCTGTATCCATGGCACCAGACACACAAGAGACATTCAAGAAGCGTATAAAATGGATGAATGAATGAACAAATAAAGAAAAGAACAGGTATTAAATCCAACTGCAATGACTCCTTTTGAAAAGAACCCCTGGCTGACATTAGGTATCCTCTTCTGACTGATGTTATATTGCAATAATAACAACTAACAATTAAGGGGCAAAGGAAAGAGACCATGCAATGAATTATTACTTATTCAGAAATAGTTACTGAGTTCTGAATATGAGCCAGGCACTCTATGAGGTACTGGGAATACAAAGGTAAATAAGAGAAGCGTGGTCTCCACCCTCAGTATAGCTTTTTATTTAATATGAAAAACTTGCCTGGTAATACAGATTGCTAAAATTCAAAGTTTTAGCCTCAAATTCTGTTTTAGCCAGAACTGTAACTCTAACTGCATTATGAAGCACATCCAACATTTTATCAGAGCATACAGAAAACACAACATTGCAAACACTTACTCTTGCTTCTGCCCACCTGTCTAGAAGAGAAAGGGACAATAAAACATTCAAGCAAGAGAAAAAAGGAAGAGACAAGAAAACTTCCATGACCCATCCATACACAAACTATCCATAATCTACAAAATCAAAAATTACCTGTAGGATTTTTCTTAAATCAAAGAATCTCATATTGTTGCCTTCAGCAATATCTACCAAACAGGAGAAAGAAGCCCCTTATAAAATAGTTATTTCATAGTTTAGATATGTTAAATCATGGACAAAATAACTGCATACAACAAAATCATGAGCAGTATGCCCCTAATATACGGGCCCGTCCTGTCCCAAGAACCCAGCTTCATAAAATAACTCCACTATGTTACCAGCCTGGGACCTGAGAATTAAAGAGGGGAGATCCTGCGCCCTGAAGTCATCAGACCCAGGGCTAGAGTTCAATCGTAATGGTGACGTGTACAAATGTATGGATACACATATATAGCATATAAAGTTCTAAATCAAAATTGTTCATTACTTACCCCTTTGCCCAGTTTCCTCCCATAGGTTTTATGCCGTACTCCTAATCCCAGGAACCCCACACCAACAAGCAGCCACAAAACTAAACAGAGAGAAGAAATCGTGTTAAAGAAACCAAGTTTGTTTTTAAAAAAATAATGTTTACGAAATTATTGAATCTATTAGGATTCAATGCAAAGGGAAAAGTGCCTAATTCCTGGGTAAACTTTCCTGGGTGACATGCATACATAACCCATACTTTAAACTCAGGCTTCAAAGAATCTTCCCCTAAAAACGTTCCAAGGATGATGAGCTTAGAGTAAAAATAAATCATAAATATACACAAGAAAACAAGTCTCCACAAGAGGAACCAGCAGGAAAAACACCCTGCAGGATCAAGCCCACAAATACTTTAGATATTGGAACTTTTAGCATCAGAATATAAAATAAGCATACTTAACATGTTTAGAAAAATCAAAGAGGGTATTCAATATGATGACTAAGGAATATGAAATTAAATTAACAATCAGGAAAATGTGTAAAGAAATCAAATAGACTTCTAGAAATAAAATCATATAATAATCATTGAAATTAGAAACTCAAGAGACAAGATAAACAGCAGGTTATACAAAGCTGAACAGAGAATTAGTGCAAGAGGCAGCTCAAAAACAGAGGTAGAGAATATGAAAGAGAAGAGTGTAAGAAGATCCAACACATATCCAATTGGAGTCAAAAAAGAGAGAGAGAAAGAATGGGAAAGAGGCAATATTTGCAGAAATAATCCTGAGAATTTTCCAGAATTGACAAAAGACATGACTCTTCAGATTCAGAAAGCCCAAACACAAACAAGCAAGATGGGAGGTCGGGGCGCTCCACATCCAGATACATCACAGTGAAATTTCAGACCACCAAAACAAAGGGAAATCTTAAGAGCTGCCAGAAGGAAAAGACAGATTATCTTCAAAGGAGCAAAGATTACAATGACAGCTGACTTTGCAACAGCAAAAATGGAAGCCAGGTGACAGGGAAACAAAATCTTTAATGTGCTGAGAAAAAAATAACCAACTACTAAAAGAAGAAAAACAGAAGGTGTAATTTCCAAACTAGAAAGAGGAGTGGGGAGGAAGGGGATAAGAAAAAAAGGAAACTCAATCAATGCAAAAGCAAGCAAGAAGAAAAAGAGGGAAAAATATACCTAGAGAAAGTAGAAAAAGCGAAAGCAAAGTAAAACGATAGAAATAAATCATAATATGTGAGCAATCACAACAAATATAGATTATGTTTTCAAGTTAAAAGACAAAGATTAACATTCTAGAAAAGGCAAAACAATGGAGACTAAAAAGATGAGTACCTGGAGCACAGGTGATATTTAGGGTAGCAAAACTATCCTGTATGATACTGTAATGGTGGATAAATGTGAGCACAGAGCATTTTTAAGGCAGTGAAACTGCTCTGCATGATACTATAATAGTGGATACATGTCATTATAAATTTGTCAAAATCCACAGATGTATAACACCAAAAGTGAGCCCTAAAGGAGACAGTGGACTTCGGGTGATAGCGACGTGTCAGTGTAGGTTCATCAAGTGCAATAAATGGACCGCTCTCATGGGGGACGTTGACAGTGGGGGAGGCTGTGTGGTCAGAGAGTACACGGGAAATCTCTCTGCTTTCTGCTCAGTTTTGCTGTGAATCTAAAATGGTTCTAAAAAATAAAGTCTATTAAAAAAAAAATCACACAGGGCCAGCCCAGTGGCATAGTGATTAAGTTTGTGTGCTCTGCTTTGGTGGCCCAGGGTTCGCCAGTTTGGACCCTGGGCATGGACCTACACGCTGCTCATCAAGCCATGCTGTGATGGCATGCCGCATACAAAAATAGACTAAGATTGGTACAGATGTCAGCTCAGTGACAATCTTCCTCACACACACAAAAAAAGAGTCACACAAAACTGTCCAAACAACTTTGTAAATAAATTGTTCCAAATGCCTCAAGTTGATGAATGAGTTAAAGAATTATGGTTCTTAGTAAAAATAAAGACAAAGATTGTCAGGATTAAATAGAAACAAACAAAAATTGCCAGATCCTGGTTTCAAGGGACATACCTAAAACATAAGAACACACACACAAAACTCTAAATTAAAAAAATTTCCCCTAAACTTTACTACAATTTTTTCAAATTATGATAGAACATACATGTAGGTGTTTATATAACGGTCTTACTGCTTTGTGATATTTCTTTTAGCTTCTTAATTGTTTCCTATCTCTTTACACTATAACTTTGTCTTCTTTAGTAAAGTATCAGGTAATTGAGGGTGGGGACCAGTTTTTACATGTCCACATCCTACCTAACACCATGTAGTCACGTAGTGTACTGAATTCTAATACACTATCTGCAAATGTTATACATTCAATGAACATTTTTACTTAATCCAGTCCACTTGAAATAAGACAGATTGAACAGTAAACTAATTTCACGTTTGAGTTGCTAATTCATCAACATTCCAAATGCTAACATATTTAATCTCCCAAAAAAGGAGAACAAGAAATGAAATAAATAGTGTCAACGATTAGAACAAAGTGTTTTGGAAATTCTACCTGTTAAATCACCATATCCACATTACAACTGAAGCAAAACTAATACACAGCATCTATGGTTGAAATGACACGTTATCAGAGATTTGCTTTAAAGTATTTCGACAAAAACAAGTAACGAAGATAGCTGTTAACAACATGGGCAAAATGTTAACAATTGTTGGAACTGGGTGATGGATACATGAGGGTTCATTATACTCTTTAATTCCATACATGTCTGAAAATTTATATTTATAATAAAATGCTTTTAAAAAAAGACAGCAAAACCATACTTACAAAGTTTCATGCATTTTTCACTCTTTCTGAAAAGCGCTTTAGGACTGTTTTTTGCTTGAAGAAGAAAGTCAAGGCTTTTCTTAGGACCAAATAGCATATTCAGCCCAATGATTAGCATCACCGTCCCTGTTAAAAGAGAAAGAATATATCACATTTTAATCTGAAAATCTTTCCAATAGTAAATTCTATGAGCCTAGGTTTTGTTGAAATGGACATACCCTGAAAATTCAGTTATTGAGTTAACATATCTCTGGTAGTACTTTTGATAATCGAGATGATCATGAGAAATCATCTGGGGTTCTAGGAACCACACTTCAAATAAGAAGACTCAGCCTTTCCCTCATGAGGGATTTAGTTCTTCTAATTTCCTGAGTGCTTCCTAGTTGTTATGTTGGTAACAGTATATGTCACTGACTGTCGATAGTGCAGGGGAGGGCGGAGCACAAGAGAAAGAAGCCTTCTGAACTGCTTCAGGGCTCAATCTTCCCCACCAAAGAGACTTCAAGTGCACCAAGTTGAGGAGCACAAAAGGAGGATATGGAAGTTCTTAATACGGCAATGTTGGCAATCATTCCGGCTGGGGTGTGGGTCTCACAGAGGATGCACGCTAGTACCCACACTGCGCCAATAAGGCCAGCCAGTCAACTGGGATGCATTACAATGCAGCTTATATGTAAAGTTTACATACTTCTAAAATTGTATATAATAAGAATAGAAACAGAGGTATGATTGAATAATACATAAATTAGGAAATGTCAAGCAAAAGTTAACTTAGGTGGAAAGCCAGGAGAAACCCAGACAATAAATTTATACTAGTTTCTGATTTAATACAGATTCTTTTCAATTGTATTAAAAGCTACTCTGAACATTACCAACATTCCTTAGTTTTTGTGGCCTTATCAACATAACATCATTCTTACTAAAGCAAGTTCTTAGTTGTTGGAAGCTGTACTGACACACTGTTCTGCAACCCCAGACGCAGCAGGAAGGAATTCAAAAAGCACATCATTCCTAACATTCTAAAGAAATCAACTTATGTTGAGAGTGGCTCTTACTTTCGTTCGCTTTCTCCACATGGCAGACCCCCAAGCAAGGTGGAGTAAGAAAAAAGCAGAGCATCAGACAGCAAGATAGAGCAGGACAGAGTGCACACACCTGAAAGAAACCAGAAGAAACACAAAGTTCACAAAGCCAAGATTATTGCAGAGGAAATGCAGCAATGTATGTCTCGAATTGGATGAGAGTTGGGTGTTTACCAGACATATCAAATTCTCAATAGTTGTTTAAAAATATTCCATTTGGTTTAAAAATATATCTTTCAAAATAGCCTGTCCTGACAGATGCCTAGCTCATGGAGTAGAAAAGTTCATGCGACAATGGACAGCGTAGTAGGACATGACGGGGAAGTGCAAAGAAACACGAGCAGGAGCCTAGACTTCTGCGCTGCCCTCACACAACTGTAATTCCACAGTACAGGTCTAACTTCATGCCTAGTGTTCCTCCTGCTACACTGAGGCTCCAGGTGGGCACAGACTCTATGTCTCTTAAATCCCCAGCACCTGGCACTGTGCCTGGAACACAGCAGGTGAGCAATAATTTTTTAATGAATAAATGAACAAATGGAAAAGTGAATGTGTAAACAAGAACTGAATTCCCTGTTAACATGTTTTGTCTCCTCATTTGTCAAAGATCGTATCCTGGAAGCATCTGACATGCTTTACTGAAACTGAAATGATAGTAATTACGGTAGTAATTATACATCAGTATACATATATCATACATTGGTAATTTCAGTATTGCTAGAAGACAATTTTTCAAATATTAAACTGAGCTGAGTTTATGAAGTTTTAATTTTGGCATATAAGCTCATAACCACTGAAATGGAAAATGTATTTACCCTGTGATTTGGAAATTTATTTACACTAAGATTCATATATGCCAGATATATTTTATTGGTAAAAATATGGTAAATAAAAATCAGATTAAATTCAGGAGAACCAAAAAAAAAAATCACAATTTCTGTATATTTTTACGAGCCTACCACTGAAGTAGCAACGTAAGCATCATGATCGTATTTTCTCCTAACATATCATAGAACACAAGTGTTACATGGCACCTCTTTTATACTTTATTACAGATTAAACTTAGTTGTTATCACAACTAATTCACTTAAAAGGTCTTTGCAGTAGCAAATATTACTGAAACTCATGGATGAATTAAGAAACTGATTTTTAAGTAGTAATTTAGACATTCCTTCAGTTTCCTTTTTAATCAAGAGAGTCTATTTTAATAGAAAGGCTAAATAATCCTATTTATTTCCACCAGTCACGTAAAGTGCTAAATCCTAGTCAGTGCTGAAGGGTATTTTCGAGTAGTTACTTTAATCCAGATCTTTCAAATGTACTCACCCAAAAGCACATCAGATCTTTCTCTAGCATATACCCCTCCTGGGACAAATTTAAAAGCTGTGCACCATGCACAGAAATGTATTTCTAGAAGATAAAATATCATGGCGATGGTCATGGCTTTCCCAGGTCTTGACCCAGAGCTAACAAGGTGTCCAAGCACTGGAGGCCACATGGACGCTGTGAAGAGGGCAAGCACACAGCCAGAAACAGCGGCTGCCCACGTGGGCAGGTAAAGGAGACCCACAGCTGAAGCCACTCCTGTTTGAGAGAAAGAAAGAAAAAGAATCAGACAGGAAAGCAGTCATAGTCTCTACCATTTTCTTTTAAAAAAAACCACGTGTGTGTGTGTGTGTAGGGGGGTGGTGTAATAAGCTTATAAGATGACCGATTTATAGCTGTTTAGAACCAGAGGGACCTCAGGAGCATACTGGCCCAATCTCCAGGCTGATGAGAAACTGAAGTCTCTCAAGGTTAACGTGATTTGCTCAAGGTCACACAGCTAGTTACTTGTACAACTGGAAGTGGAATGTGGATCTAGTAAATCTCCAGCCAGTGCTATTTCTTCAGGAAGGGCAGCGGGAGGGAAGAAGGCATATTTAGCTTATTTCCGTTAAGATCCTAATGGTGAAAAAGGAAAGAACTGAAATTACCTATGACACCAAAAATATCTCCTTTTAATTTAACCAGCTGGATCTAGGACATTAGAAAATCTGTCAGTGTGGTCTCTACAGCGTTTTTGTTAAAGAACTTTCTAAAGGAATTTCCATCCATTTCATTTCCACATAGCCCTAAAAGAAGACATGACTGAGACAGCATGGGACTCACTGCGTTAGCAGTTCTGCAGTCCGTTCCCTGTTATCCAACAGCCTAGGAGATGCTGGACGCTGTGCAGTCTGCCTGGTCCACAGCAGGCACTTAGTAAATGTTTGCTAATTTGCTGAGTCAAACCTGAGGAAATATAACATTTCTCCCAATTCCTGTGAAATCAGCTTTGAGACAGCACATCAGGGTCTTACAACACCTCACTTTGGAGCCATCCATATAACATCTTTCCATAGACTAGGACATTTCCTAGACATTTCAATCAGTGTTGTATAATTGTGACCCACACTTCAAGGATGCCTACAGCAGACTCTTCACTGCTTGGGGCAAGAACTCCAGAAAAGGAGGAGTGGAGAGCAAGAAGCGGATCCAGGCAGCTTCTCAGTGCCCCAGTGCGCTCATCCATGAGTAAGTCCCACTTGCATCTCACAGGATAATGCCACGTGACTATCTATTCTTCCCCACTTCAAAGAAGGCATCACCCAGATGAACCTGAGAACCAGACGGCAGGGCCCTCTACAACCCATGGACTTTAATGCTGCAGTTAGACCTTCAAATACTTAGATCCAACAATGGTTATTTTAATAACAAATTTTTTTTTTTTTTTTTGAAATAAACAAATGCAATGCCTTTCCACTATAGAAATTTAAAAAATACAAAACTGAAAGGAAGCAATTAAGGATTGCCTCAGATTGAGATGATCACAGCCAACAGTCCAATATATTTCCACTGTCTTTTTCTACATATATATGGAAGTATTTTTAGGTAAGTGGAATCATACCACATATTGAGGATTATATTCTGCTTTCTATGTGACATTATATCAAGAACATTTCTCATGTTATTAATGTTTGTTTCTAAAACATTTTTAGTATATATACTATTCCACTGGATAAATACACTACAATATAAGCAACCATTTTCCTATTGTTGGCCTTTTCTGAAGCTTCTGACACTGTGAGGAACATCTTTCTTTGTCCATTAATCTCTTACTACATGTTTGATTATTTCCTTAAAATAATTCTTAAAAAGATTCTTAGAGGTACAACTACTGTGTCAAGAGGTAAAAGCATTTTATTTATTTTTTTTCTCTTTTTGGAAGAAGATTAGCCCTGAGCCAACTACTGCCAATCCTCCTCTTTTTTCTGAGGAAGACTGGCTCTGAGCTAACAACCATGCCCATCTTCCTCTACTTTATATGTGGGATGCCTGCCACAGCGTGGCTTTTGCTAAGCGGTGCCATGTCCGCACCTGGGATCTGAACTGGTGAACCCTGGGCCAGCAAGAAGCAGAATGTGCGAACTTAACTGCTCCGCCACCTGGCTGGCCCCTAAAGGCATCTTAAAGAGTCATTACTTGTGGTCAACTGCTTTCCTGAGAGGTTACACCAATCTCCATTTCCTCCAGAAACTCACCTTTTGAACCATGCCAAAATTATTTCTTTCTAGAGCCAGCCCCCATGGCCTAGTAGTTAAAGTTTGGCGTGTTCCACTTTGGCAGCCCGGGTTTGGTTCCCGGGTGCAGAAGCACACCACTCATCTGTCAGTAGCCATGCTGTGGCAGCAGCTCACACAGAAGAACTAGAGGGACTTACAACTAGAATATACAACTGTGTACCGGGGCTTTGGAGAGGGTGAAAAAAAAAGAGAGGAAGATTTGCAACAGATGTTAGCTCAGGATGAATCTTTAAAAAGAATTATTTCTTTCTGAAAATCTTTGCCAAATTAATGATGAAAATAGTATCACATTTTGAATTTCACTTATTTGATTATTAGTGGAAGTAAATTTTTCCTATTTACCAACTTACAATGACTATTTTTTAGAAGAATGAGTCCTCATTTGATATTCTAAAGACATCAGAATGACTTTGTTGCTTCTGTGTTACTACAAAGAATTATCTGGAGGGAAAGAAAACATTTCTTCAAATTTCCCTTGACTGTTATTGCTTTTATTTTTAATTTAAATACTACTTTTAAATAGGCTGTATATTTTTAAATCCACTAAAATTGTATTTTTAAATAGGTTATAAATTCAAAAGGTAAAAAAAGAGTCCCTCTGGGGCTGGCCTGGTGGTGCAGTAGTTAAGTTTGTGCACTCCACTTCAGTGGCCCGGGGTTCACGAGTTTGGATCCCGGGTGTGGACCTACACATCGCTCATCAAGCCACGCTGTAGTGGTGTCCCACAGACAAAGTAGAGGAAGACTGCCACAGATGTTAGCTCAGGGACAATCTTCCTCAAGCAAAAACAGGAAGATTGGCACAGACATTAGCTCAGGCCAATCTTCCTCACACACACACAAAAGAGTCCCTCTGACCCCTGTCACCCACTAGTTCCCCTTTGTAAAGGCAACCAATGTTAACATCTTCTTCTGCATCCTTCCTATGCATCGGAAGAAATACATACATGTGCATTCCCCTCCCTTTTTGTGCACCAGTGGTGGCATATGACACACACTGTCAGTCACTCTGCCTTTTTCACTTGACTGTCTACTTCAACCGTTTTTTGTTTGAGACTGAGTCCTTCCAAATACTGTCCCCTAAATCTTTACAACATCTAAGACACAAAGTAGAATTAACGGTAACTGAATACTCCAATACTTATAATAACCAGTGTGTTAGCTTTCCACAGATCAAATTGTTTATACAATGAAGTTGTAGGCACACTACATAGTACACTGGGGTCCTATCAATGCGTTTACACATGTCTTTTTTTTCAATAGGGCTTTGATTTTCCTAATTTAATTGCCATCAAGATTTAAAGCTCCTGTATGTTTGCATTTATGAAATTCTATTGGTCACTGCCATAATTAATTTCATGCCGAGACCCAGTTGGGCTCGCCAACTTTAACTGTACAATGAAAAGATATGATTGCTTTTTCTACACTCTGCTTTATGATGTGGTTTCCAGAAATGAATCACAGTGAAAAAGTGGGCACCATCTTTAGATAATTAAGTGTGAGCTCCAACTTATTTCAGGTGAGCAGGCGATCAGAGAGGGAGATGAAACAGACGAATTATGGCCCTGCTTTCCTGTCTACTGCAAATAGCCTATTAGAAGCCTTAAATCTGCTTGTCCCAAGGGCCTTTTAAACTACTATTTAATACTTCAAAGAGATTAGGTTGGACTCTCAAGGCTAGGACCTTTCTTATCTGGGGAAATAAGTATAAGCATAATACTATAAATTCACAGCTTTTCTGTTCCTTAACTAATAGTTCACGTTTCTGTGAATCTCAGGTTTCCCATGTCTAAAATGAAGCTGATAATCACCTGCCCGGCATTTTGCTTATATTCAGCATGCTATAAATGCCGAACAATCTTTCATTGTAGCTCACCTTCCTTTTCCCAATTGCAAACAGATTAAAAAGCTATCTATGCTCAACGCAAACAGCATTTACAAAGTGATCTGGCCCTTTCTTGAGGAATCTCATGAGGCGTATCTCTGGTAAGAAGAAAGGTTACTCCTATATTATATTCACACAAACTTCCACAGAGTCCATATGGAACGCCTACTAGAAAACACAGGAGCAAGTGAAAACAGCTCAACACAACTGCAACAGTGTGTTCACACATCCCCAGGAGGTCGAGGGCCTGGTGAACCTCATTAACTGAGCAGCCTAACTCATTACACACGTTTCCATGCAAGGGCGGTGGACCTCAGAGCGCACAGAAATTTACTCATTCTTATTCAACCCACATCTTCTGTTACCGATATACATAGTCTCACAACCCACACACAGCCTCTAGTGCAACACTCTGAACCACCTGCTTAATTAATGTGTATAAGGACGTTTCTCCTCACAGAAACCAAATATAGTACTTGCTCTGTCACAGAATGGGGGGTTTTTAACTTAACACCAAAACTGACTCTAATCATTTCTGCCTTTCAAGGGGAAGGGAGAAGAGTGGCATAATTCAGTTGTGGGAAAGTAAATAGATTGCTCCTGAAATATGATAGTTTTCACCAATATTCTGTGATCCTAAAGGCAGTGATGGGGAGCAGAGGGTCCAAGCCTTTGAATAAGCAAACATGGACCCCAAAGCTGAGCAGACGGGTGAGGAGCTAAACTCTTCCACGTAAAAGAGAAAAGGAAATTGAACTGCATGATGGAGTTCCAATGGAGGGCGTTCCTGAAAACCAGAGAAGAGAGGGATCTCGGCGAGGGGAAGAGGGCTGGCAACGTGGCGATGTACAACCCTCCATCTCCTCAGACCTGCGGTAAATCTGTGACTGACACACGTGTGGGGAGATGGGGGAGATCATGTCAGCATAGTCGGGGGGAAGGAGACAGCTACAGGAGGAGAGGGAAAATGAAATGGAGGAAGTAGGAACCTGCAGCCAGGAGTCACTGGAAAGCATGGTGACATCTGGATTCCAGCAGCTATAGCTGTTTAGAATAGCCCACGTGGCAACAGCACCTATTTGTACGGCTGCCTGGGTCATCTACTTCCAGTCTAGGTGCACATGCCTGCAAGTGAACTGGACAGCTGAGCTGAACGACGGGCATATCTGCAGGTCAGCTCCACATACCTGTAACCCACCAGATTACACCGGTACCAGGAAACCGTGAACAAGCCGAGAGCATCAATCCGCTCGCCAAGCACAGCAGAATTACACCTCTGTGAAAAAATGACAGGCTACAGGACATCTGACATTATTAATATTTCATTGTCTCAAATAGAAAACAGAAATATATCTCCTACCTCTTGGTACATCCAAGACATAACATGAGTGTGGAACAACCAATGAGATGAGCGCCCATTGGGGACCAAGATTATATACATTCAGAACATTAAAGTAATAACTACTCCAACTTGAGAAAAGTGCTATCTTTCATAGTCATCTTTCATGGTCAACGCAAACACAGTAATTGAGTTTTCTCAGACTATTAAATTATAGTCCATATTGGCCAAGTGACATTTTAAATGACTGCCAAACACCAAAAGAAAAAGTCATTGGGAACAGTTTCTCTTCAGTTTGCCTGTTTTCTTTCTTTTCTCTACCTCAATACTGCTTTCATCTACAGTCACTGCCTTCCTGGGACTGGTGTCAGCTTCATAAATGAGAGTTGTGTTTTTTAAAACAACTACAAGCTATCTCATTCTTTAGCTACTTTGGCAAAAATTAGGAGGAGGAGAAAAAAAGAATTTAACTGAACTTTAGGGAAAAATCCAACAGCAATAATAGCTTATGACATGGCACTCAATTAAGTAGTTATAACATAAATTAAGCTAAAAAACATAGCACTTACTACACACCAGGCACTGTTTTAAGATTTTTACATATTTTAGCTCACTTAATCCTCACAACTCTGTAAGACAAATGCTATTATTATCCCCATTTTGCAGAGGAGGACACTGGGGGAAAGACCACTTAGGTAACCTGCCTGACGTCACACATAGTGGCCCACGTGGGACTGAGAATCCACAAAGGGCCCTCAGAGGCCGGCCTGGTGGCACAGTGGTTAAGTGCACATGTTCTGCTTCGGTGGTCCAGGGTTCACCAGTTCGGATCCTGGGTGCAGACATGGCACAGCTTGGCAAGCCATGCTGTGGTAGGCGTCCCACATATAAAGTAGAGGAAGATGGGCACGGATGTTAGCTCAGGGCCAGTCTTCCTCAGCAAAAAGAGGAGGATCGGTGGTAGATGTTAGCTCAGGGCTAATCTTCCTCAAAAAAAAAAAAAAGGCCCTCAGGCTCTGGAGTGAGGCTCTCCCACCTCCCCCCACCTCCTAAGGTTAAGGATCGTCCAGGGTCTACAGAAGACCAGATGTGAGGAAAGGCCATGGAGGACAGGTGATCTTTCTCTATCCTCAATTCAACAACAAACGTTTACAAGTACCTACTATGTGCCAGGCTCTGTTCTAGGGGCTCAGGATATATCAACGAACAAAGAGCCCTTTTCTCCACAGGGCTCACATTCTAGGGGGGGGGGGGGGGGGACACAGACAATAAACACAATTAGCAAGCAACACAGGATATCAGAAGATGGAAAGTGCTACAGAAGAGTAAGAGTAACAGGTCCGGAGTGCTGGGGTGGGCTGATGGGAAGCTGGAACAAGTGACTAAGACACCGTTTGTCCGGCTCCCTCTTCTCCCAGGAGCTATGGTCGGCACTGATCCTTTGGTCCCCCAGAGTCCCTTCAACACCCTCTGAGCCTCTCTCTCCCCTTTCACCCATCTCTCACATCTTTATCCCATCAAAACTTATCTATGACCCATTCCCTTGAGTAGAATCTAGTGAATTTTAGAAAGCAGTTCCTACTCTGATGGTCATGGGTGACGACGGTCTTATGCAACATTTCTCAAACAGGGTTCTGAGAAACAGCAATTTTATGAGATGTTAATAGGTGTTCTAGAAACAGGGGCTGGCGCCCTAGCCTAGTGGTGAAGTTCTGTGTGCTCCACCTCAGCTCACAGGTTCGTGGGTTCAGATCCTGGGTGCAGATTTACACTACTTGTCAGCCATGCTGTGGTGGTGACCCACATATAAAATAGAGGAATACTGGCACAGATGTTAGCTCAGGGCTAATCTTGCTCAGCAAAAAAAAAAACAGGAATTTCATCTTCAAATAAGTTTGAGAAATTCTCTAGAGTCTCTAATATGCTATAACACGCATTGTGAATCACAAAGAAAGGAATATAAAATGCAATATTTTATAAACCTATTTGATCTAGAAGACTTTTTTTCTCTTAGAGTAGCTATTGACATCTCAAGAAACCAATCTTCCACCGATCTCATGGGTTGCATTTCCACCTTCAATGTCTCACTCTAACATACAGAATCATAAGATGTCTGAACAGAAAACTCTCATTTTACAGGTGAGAAAAACAAGGCCAGGGATGTAATGTGACTGGTCCAAGGTTGAATGGTGAGTTGCTGTTGGCCAACCACGACTCCAGCCCTCGAGCCCCACCTTGGATTCCTGGTCCGGCTCTCCTTTTGCTCTTTCACACCTCTTATGCTTGTTTTCACAGGGAACTTTGGAGACAAAGCTTTAATACGAGAATAAACTCCTTCCCTTCCCATCTCTTCCTTTGTGCCTTTCTTCTTTCTCTCTCTTCCTCCCAAGTATGCTGAGTATCCAAGATCAAAAAGACACAGACTCTGAATGAGATAACATATGTAAACTTCCTAGCTCAGTGTCTGACACAGAGTACATCACAAACATTAGTTCTTCTCTCACTCCCTGTCCTCAAGGAGGTTAGTGTCTAGAGAGGAAGAAAGGTGTAAAATAACTGTAATATTAAAAAATGTGTAATACAGAATAATAATAAGAGATATTGGGGGGGATTCAAGATAGTATGTGGCATAAAGGGACCCCTGGGATAATCAGAGAAGACTTCACGGAAGAGATGCTTGAGCTGGGTTTTGAAGGGTGAATAAGAGCTTGCCAAGACCTTAAGGAAGACAAGGGAGGATAGGCAGACGAAAGAGCACATACACGCAGATGGAGGAGTGGAACAGTCTGGCACTTCTAAGGAACTGCAAGTGCTTTCAGCCCAGGTGCAGCACAGAGATAAGGCAGGGAGCATTTGTAAAAGCGGACGGTGCGGGGCAGATCCAGTCTCATATGACCTGGTATTGGGGGTAAAAAAAACTGCTGACAGATTTTAAGCAAGGGAGTGATGGAGTCAGATTTGCATTTTAGAGAGATCATTCTGGAGAGGGACCATCAGGAGAAACAGCAAGAGCCTGGATGAAAGATGGTAAGGACTCCCCTAAGGCAGATATGGTTGGGGAAAGGGAGGGAGGCACAGATCTGAAAGAAGTGGTAGAATCAACTGGACTTAATGCCAAAGATGCAGAAAAGGAGGAAGACACAGAACTCTAGGATGACTTGTGGTTTCTGGCTCAGATGATGGGGTGGATGGATAGAGTGAACCAAGGCCTGGAGGAGGAGCAACATGTTTGGGGCCTGGGAACTCCTGAGTCCAGACTTGGACATGCTGAGTATGAGAAGCCGGTGGGATATGCCCAGATGTCTGCTGGGGAAAGATCCAAATGTGGGAATTTCAGCACTTTAAGAAAAAACAGGTATCTGAGGCAGATGCTTTAAGGGTTTCTCGAATCTTTTTACACGAAAGACTGGGTCTGGCATGGGAAAAAAGAAGTGCCAGGAAGAACACACAAAGGGTTGATGAGGACAGAACACATGGACTAACACTTAAATGCAAGACTGCTACCTCCCTAGGTGCCCCGTGGTTGGAGCAAGTCCCAAACTACCAGAGGATCAGAGATCTCCCAGGCTCCCTCCTTCGGAGAGAACAGAGAGCTATGCTCAGGCTGCCAATCCTGTATCTCCCATCAGTACACTCTGGTCTTGCCCTACCAAATACCAATAACTGTAATGGTGGCGAGGCAGCAGTAGGGGGTGTGGGGAGGGAGTCTAGAGGAAAAGAACAGAGAACGTCATGCCTTCCGGCCACTAAGAATGCTCTCCTACTCCCTGGCAGGGGCTCCCAGAACCTCTTACTCAATGTTTCTGATATCTAGGGAGAGTGGAATATGAAATATCTGGCTAGCACAGATCTAGCTGCTCAACCAAGGAGGTATTTCTTCCCTCAACCATAACAGCCAATTCCTTGATTGCTTCCAAACCCAAACTCACCCAAACGGGTTAGGATCCGGCCCTGGATGGGGATGGCCACTCACTGCCCATCTGGAAACGAGGGAGACCTCTCCAAACACCCAGTGGGTGAGGAATATGAGAGTGCCAAAGGCAGCCCCCGCCAACAACCAGTTAGGTCTAGAGGCCATCCCCTTGGCTGCCTCGCCAGTCTTTTTCCCCTCAGGTTTACTGCAGTCACCATCTAGAACAAAAAAGGAAAAGGGTCAGTTACATGGAAATTTACCCTCTGCATTTAACAGACTTTAGCAAGTAAGAAATGTGACTGGCTTCCAGGAGCTTACTTTAGAAGGGGAGACGACACATGAACCTACAACACAAAGCAGAACGTGCTGAGAGCTGGGCAGAGAGCGAGGACCTCAGGCAGGCTGGATCAGGCAGGCTTTAGAGGGAACAGAGCATCTTAGAATTTGACAAGTGAAAAGGCGGAAAGTTATTTACTTCATGTGAAGTTCACAGCAGGAGCAAAAATATATGCAGAAACAGTGAACGGTATGTTCAGGGGACAAATGCAGTCCTGCTTGAGTGGAAAATTTCCAGTACACCAGGCTGCTCCCTCCCAAAAGAAGAGGGCTTCCACCTAACGCTCTGTGTATCCAGAGTCCTAACAGCGCATTGCCTGAGCAGAGACTGCGTGCCACGCCCTCTTTCAAGCCCTTTATAGGAGCTCACTTAACTTTCACAACTTCATGAGGCAGGCTCTATTACTAATCCCATTACCGGTTAGAAAACTGAGGCACAGAGAGAACAAGTAACTTGTCCAAGATCACACAGCTAGTAAAGAGAAAGTGGGGCTGGAATTTAGGCAGTCTGGCTCCAGCACCTGTGTACTGAGCTATACCATACACTTCAGGGGACTGTTGAACCAACAGGTCTCAATTCACTGCACCACTGACTTCACATAATGTAACACCTGGAGAAAATGCTGGCAGGAGAATTTCTCTGTAGGAACAGAGAGGCTGTTGGGCAGATGCTTGTGACGCTGTGAAGCCCTCTGCGGGATAGAAGGAAGCCTCAGGGTCTGCCTGGGGGGCTGGCAGCCCTATTTTACAAGGAGGAAGAAAGCCACTCTGCCAAAAAAGGAGTCAAAGGAAGGAGGAGCAGAGCTGAAAGCTATGGGGATGAGGCACAGGGTGGTACAGACAGAAGGGTGGCCAGGGCCTGGAGGCTAAGCAGACAGTCTTCGGAGAAGAGAGATATCTAAAACGAATTTGCTGTGTATTACGGCGGGTGACCCCTCCCCCAGGACCCAGCCGATCTTCAATAAAACTACAAAAAACTCCTGGTAACATCAGAAATGCTAGAGAAGCTGGCGAGAAGTCTTGAGTTTTGTAAATGGGGCACAGGGCAAAAACAGGAAGGGAGCAACAACTGGGTCATGTAAATTTACAAGAGGCGAGACAGAAGAAAACTCAAGTCAGGAAATGTAAATTACACCCCAAGTTCAGATCCTTATCAGGCTGTACCTGTGAAATTTGCTGCCTGAGTTTCCACCTCTAGATGTTAGTGTTTTATAAAATATAGAACATATTAGGGCACTAGACGGAGGTCTAAATGCTCCAACTAATACTAACGTCACTTGAGTAATTTACTTGCGTGATGTCCCCCTCTTCTCACTACCCTCATATCATGCCAAAATTGGGGCCAAAGGGGGATTATACAGCATTCTGTTCGCACTGAGCCAAAACCCTCTACACTTCCATCAGTCTGTGAGATTTCTCCTTGTATTTACAAAAGAACAGTGACTCAGTGAGAGTGACACAAAAAGCCAGGAGCAAGTTAATTAGAATCTAGTAACACTTCTCTCTTCTTTTCAGAAGGGTCTCGAGTTAGCATATGAAGCAAACATCAAGCTGGGTGTGTGCCTGTCTCCGAGAAAGTCAGCTCCAGACAGCGACAGGGTATTTGAAAGGTGGTGTGAATAGGCAAGACTTCCTTTCTTTTCAAGTTTTAGACTTGGAGTTTAAATATATTCAGACACCTGGAAAAAAAACAATGCCAGGTAGTTCCCATGGCCCCAGCTCACAGATAACAGTCCACAGTGTTAGAGCTACACTGGGGTCAGTACGGAGGGAGGGGGGTGACGGATCCCACCCTGGAAGGCCTGTCCAGAGGAAAGAGGAGAAAGAGCTGAAAGCCAGCTGGGAGTATGAGGCCGGGTTCTACTCCCCCACTGCCCAGTGATACAGTCAGCTTTTTATTATCATCCTCTGTAATGGCAAGAAAAAGGTGCCTTCTGCTTAGATAACAGTCCACCATGACTGTGCCAGTGACTATTTCAGGGGAAAAAGCTGAAATGGAGACATAGCACAGAAGGATAATTTTTATCTTTCAAGATGTGTCACATTCAGGTAAGAAAGGTAAACTACGCAAGAGAGAAAATCCTTAAAGAAACTGGATATACTCTTACCTGTGAAGATGCGATCAAGGGTGGCTATGGTACTTAAGGTCAGGATCACTCTGTTGGACACCTGATAACTCCAGATTGGGTTTAGTGAAGTGTACCATATGCGAAGAACAAGAAGAAGAATCTGTCCTAAAATAAATCCCCAGATTCTGAGGTACCTGTAAGTACAAAAGTATTTGTAACATACTTTTTATGTGGTTTCAATGTACTATGTCCATTGAAATTCTACGAATTCCAGTTTCATAGAATGAGCATAGGAAATAGTCTTATTGGTAACTTGCAGTAATGTACATGACATAGCCTTTATAAAGCCCATTACCTAGGCGACTTCTTCTAATTCTTTAATTCTGAAAACATTATTAAAACTAATGGCAAGTATTCACATCGTGGTTTTGTGAAAAGGAAATAAATGAGACTTCTACAAGGCCATATACAAGGTAAATACGAAACTGGAACTCTGGGTCCCGACTTTCCCTTTGGTGACTAATCACACTTGCTTGTCTACAGGTCTAAGAGACGAACCATACCTTTGCAAACCACTTCCTGTCCACCATGTCACAGATTGCACTATCAGAGACGAAGACACACCAAGCGCGAGGACCACTATCCGAAGTTTGGCATTCGGAGCCTGGAAGGAGGCTATGCTGCCTACAAACAAATTAAGGAGAGCTGAATGTTTCTGGCAATCATGCACTGGTACTCGGTGATCTGCATTGATAACTGTTGTGTCTGATACCATCTTTATACTCAGGAAGATAGAGTGAATATATAATTGTGTGTGTATAAATCTTTTAAAAAATTTTTATTGAGATATCATTCATACCATAAAGTTCATCATGTTAAAGTATACAACTCAATGGTTTTTAATGTATTCACAAAGTTGTGCAACTTTTACCAATATCTAATTCCAGAATATTTTCAATCACCCTAAGAAGAAACCCATACCTATTAGCAGCCACTCCCTTTTCCTCCTCCCTGCCCGACTCCCAGCCCCTGGCAATCACTAATCTACTTCCTGCTGTATGGACTTTTCCTATTCTGGGCATTTCAGATAAATAGAATCATACAATATGTAGCCTTCTGTGACCGGCTTCTTTCACTTAGCACAACGTTTTCAAGGTTCATCCATGTTGTAGCATGTATTGGTATGTCATTCCTTTTTATGGCTCAATAATATTCCACTGCAAGGATTCCATGGCATGGATATACAGCATTTCATTTCTCCATTCATCAGTTGTTGGGCATTCAGGTTGTTTCCACTTTTTGGCTATTATGAATAGTGTTGCTATAAACATTTGTGTACAAGGTACTGTGTGAATGTATGTTTTGATTTTTCTTGGGCATATACCAAGGAGCGGAGCTGTCAGGTCATATGACAGCTCTGTTCAACATTTTGAGGAACTGTCAAACTGTTTTCCAAAGCAGGTGCACCATTTTACATTCCCACCAGCAATATGTGAGGGGTCCAATTTCTCCATGTCCTTGCCAACACTCGTTATGGTCTGTCTTTTTGATTATAGCCATTCTAGTGGGTCAAAATCTTTAAGGTCAAAAATGACCTGAATCAAAAGGAGTATGAACGAATTTAATAGTTAACTACACAGTAATTAAGCTAAAATATCTGAGACGACAGATATGAGGAGGCAGGTAACACTCAGATCTTCTCCGTATTATGTAAGGATACCTTAGGACTCTTCAAAAACCAGTTGTTTCCTTGCCTTGAGAAGCATCTGAAGGGAGTTTTAAGTCATGTCATGGCTTACTTCAGCCGCTGTTGAGCATCAGCAAGACTCAGGGGTTACCTGGAAGGGTATCTGGCAGAAATGGGCCTCTTCATCCTCAACTCCGAGTCATTTCCCACCTACTCCACCTTCTCAAATATAATTCTACCTCTACTCAAGGTGATGGGTTTTCACGGAGGAAGGAGGTGGAAGGGGGACAACAGGAAGCATCCCAAATACCATACCCTCCCTAGACTCATTTAATATCACATCCCTTACAGCCACCACAAGTTACTGGGCCGGAACTGGACTTAATAAAACACGGTCCCAGGAACTGCTCAGTCAGTGGCTTCGTAGGTAAGCCTGGCACCAGAAGCACGGAGCAAAGGCAACCAAAACGTGTCACTGATGAGATCACTCTCGTAAATGCCAGCCAAGGAATGTGATGAGAAACTGAAACTTGCAACACTCAGGCCGTAGTAATTCATAGAAGGATACAGTAAGCCAAAGACGGTTTCACTCAGTGACCATCTACTCAAATCAGGGTAGAAAGTTTCACTTCTCTTACTTCTGGAGATGAACATTTCATGGTCAAATATTGTCTTTCCATTCCTATGCACACCATCTTTGTAAAGGGTGCATTTTTCAGTGGCATTTACCACTTTTCTTTCTGAGCCCAAGCTCTTTAAAAGCCGGAGCTCTCCACCTTTGTGGGCAGACACAGAACTCACCGCACTAACTGTATTCTGTCTTCTTTGGGTCTGATGCACAGAAAAGCAGAAGGCAGCTACCTAGCGATTCCTGTTACTGTTTCTGAAAAAAGTCAAACGCCTGTTTCCAGACAGAAGAAACATACAGCCCGGTTCATGAACAAATGCACTTGGAAAACTCAGACAAACCAACTGCATTATTGCAGAAGGGCAAGACATGCAGAGTTTTTAGCTACAGATTCACCCAGACTGGAGTCTGGTGTTTTTGTTTTTTAAATCTTTTCTCCATGACCTCACCTCCTGAGTTTTTCACTACCAGGACTTCTCCAAGGTCTCTCAATACCAATATTAAGAATCTCAATTTTTTGTGATAGCAAATATACATTTAAAATTTTTTCAGTTGCTAGTTTTTGGCAATGTAACATACTCAAATTCAGAATTCAAAAGGTATACAGTGCAAAGTTGCCCTTCATACTTGTCTCTAGGTACCATTTTCTTCTCCCTGGAAGCAACTAAAATGCTATCAGTTGCTTTTTAAAAAATCCTTCTAGAGCTATTTAACGCATGTTCAACTAAATACTAAATACATTTTCATCTAACCCAAGTGTTAGTATTCTTCACGCACTGTTTAGTGCTTCCTTTTTCTCGCCTAATATTTTGAAGAACATTACACTTCCTTACATAAACAATGGTCTCATTCTTTTATATAGCTGCATAGTATTCCGAATTTCATAATCATAATTTATTTAACCTATCTATATAGATGACATTTGGGTTATTTCTAATCTTGCTATTATAAATATTGCTGCAATGATTAAGTAATATTGTATTTTTATCATGTTACACATATGAGTGTATCTGTAGGATATATTCCTAGAAGTGGAATTGCTGAGTAAAAGAATATATACATATTTGTAACTTTGATAAATATTGCTAAATTATCCTCTGCAGAAGTTGTCCCAACTTACATTCACACCAGCAACGTATAAGAACCTGTTTTCCCACCCTTCCAATACAGCATTATCAGACTTTGTTCTTTGCCAATCCGGTATGTGAAACTATGTATAAATATGTGTGGGTGTATATATAATTTGTATTCTACACATTTTAATATATTTTTAAGAACCAATTATATTTCCTTTCCAGTAAACTGATTGTATCTGTTGCTTCCTTTTCTATTGAGTTGTTGGTCTTTTTTATTATTGATTTATAAAAATTCTACATATTACTGAAATTAGCCCTTTGACTAAAAGAGTTGCAAATATTTTTCCTAATTTGCTGTTTGACTTTGCTTACTGTGGTGTTCATCATGCATAATTTTCATATTTTCATGCAGTATCATTTAACAATTTTTTTAATGGCTTCTGAGTTTTGAGTCATAGTTGGAAAAAAGAACACAATATGTTCAAGTGTTGACTTGTTCACCAAGGTATCTTTCCTCTCCTCGCTTCAGTGATTTTTAGGCTTTTCTAATCCGACAGCAAAGTGAGAAATGTAAAATACATTGACTTGGTCTAGCCTCCCAGCTCTACTAAAACTCTTCAAGGTAGCAGTAAGAGAAAGAGAAATCTTTTTTTAATAATGTAGTATTCAAAGAGCAGTATACATAATTTTACTTGATTTTTAAGTAAAAAACATCTTAAATCTTACCAACAGTAATCATCCGCAGCAGGGTTAGCATCCACTTCTTGTTAACCAATTTCCAGAAAGGACTAATGGTTAGGAATATTGGAGAAAGAAATGCTATGCCAAAACCTTCAAGCCCAGTGAGTTCGAGGGTTTGCAGAGGAAAGTAAAAGATCACTGGTCCCATATCATGGCAGAGAGACCAAAAGACATACCCTAGAAAAAAATTTTTTTAAAGAGAGAGAGAAAGTGTAACTTTGTCATTGTTTCAAACAGCAGCCAGGCTGCTGCACCCCCACCGCTCGGCTGGCCGGCCTCCTTCATGACTCTGGTCTTAACTAGAATTCCTCCCCTTGCCATCACGTCCATCAAGGAGGAAAATGGCTTCCTGCTGTTGCGGGTCCTCAGCAACCCTCCTTCGTTCCTTTAACCCTCGCAGGTAGTCCCTTTATGAAAGCCTCTTCATTTAGACCATCTTTGTTGAATTTGGTTTCCTGTCAGGACCCTGAAGTGATAACATTTCCTTACCTGGGTCTCCTCTTCTATAAGGAGAAATATCATGAAAATCAAAAAGAGCAACAAACAGCAGGACCCCTTCCACTCCAGACGACACCCAAAGGCAGGTTAGTGACGCAACCATCGGTTTCTTGTGAGTAGACTATTGTAAACCCAACCCTTAGGAGACAGTACCAGGTAGTGGAATAGCCAGATCCGAAGTCAGTTTCACCTCCGTCAACTCCTGACTGCAATCTTCTAGAATAACGATAATTAACGACTGGACACTTATACCATGTGCTAGGCTCTGCGCTAAGTATTTACAGGGGTCATCTCTCTTATTCCTCACACAACCCATGTCCTATGATATTAACACTATGTCTATTCCCCACTTACAAATGCAAAAACAAGAAAAGACTCCTGAAACTCAGAAAGTTACGTAATTGCCTAAGGTCATGAAAGTAGCAAACAGCAGAGTGAACGTAGACCCAAGCAGTCTGGCTCCAAACGTAGCTGTCTAACCACCGAGTGTTGTACCTTTCTCCCAAGGTACCGCTCAGCCTCCCCTTCTTGATCAGCAAAATTGTACTTTTAACCACTTCTCGGAGTTGTTAGGATTAAATGAGATCAGGCACAGAGCACCTAGTGCCCTCGATACTTAACGCAAGGTAATTCGCTTTACACGCCCGACGTACTTATGAGATGCTGTCTGCGCCAGAACAATGGGTCCTCCCAAGCGTTACTAACCCCCCCAAAATCAGGTTCCTAGGAGGGCGCCCCTCTCAAGCCGGAGGAATGCTTGTTTCATAATGAACAGCGAGATTCTAGCCATTTCCCAAGCGTTGGTCTGGGAATTCTGATTTTAATCATACAGCTCCGAGAGAATTACACCAATAATTGTTCTTGGGACATTTTGCTAAGTGAGCACATGGGACTCGAGTTTGATGGTTTTCGCCAAATCCCAAATGAGCAGCGGCCACCAAGGCCACTTGTGCCGGGCCAACGCAAGCAGCGTCTACTGCCCTGTGTGCTCACCTACAGCCGCGGGGGTCGGGGGGCGGAGGAACGGGGACGAGTGCCCTGTCTTCCTGAAAGTCAAAGTTCAGTACTAAATCTTATTAAGTTTAACTTAAAGGTCGCGGGTGGGAGTACTAGGGGGCGGTACCAGCCGCGCCGGTTCCAAGCCGGCGGCACGTGGAGAATTCGCGCCCCGTGGGCGCAATCCGAGGGTAGCGTGGCCGCTGGGGAAGCACCGGCTCCCGCAGCCGCCTCGCCAAAGCCTCAGGTTTGGAACCTCAATCTGAGTCTTTTGTTTTTTTCCTTCCGTAGCAAAATTCCCAGGGGACGATAAGCATCTCTATTCTGGGCACCGGGCGCGCTTTTCTCCCTCCCGGGCCAAGCGCCGCGGCCCGGGGCAGGGCCATGCGGAGCGGGCACTCGCGAACGCGCGGCGAGGGCGGCCTCGGCTTACCCAGGACGGTCTCCAGGAGGACTTCTCGCCACAGGGAGCCCATGGCCGCGCGTGGAGCGGCGCTTTCTAGGAAAGCAGCGCGCGCCTCCTCGCGCGCACACCGCGCGCCCCGGCAGCCCCGCGTCCTCCCGGCCTGCGTCTGCGCCGCGCGTCCCCTAGCCGAGCCCGCCGCTGCCGCCGCCGCCGCCCGTGTGCCGAGGCGAGGGTGGTGCCCGGCGCGTCCGCCTCCGCCCCGCCACACCCCGTCCAGCCCGCCAGGCTCCGCGCCGCCTGTGCGCGCTCCCCCGCCGCAGGCGCCTCGGGTCTCTGAGCCGCCGTCGCCACTGCGCGCTGCAGAGGACAAGTGTCCCGGCGCAGGGAGCTGGCGGCCTCGGGCCCCGCGGTCGGGCAAAACCCAGGGTGCCCTGCTCGCTCGCCGAGCAGCCCCGGGATGGACGCTGCCAGCGCCCAGGAGGGCGGGAACAAGCGCAACTTTGGCCTGGTCGTGCGCATGTTTTGGCGAGGCCACGGGAGCGCGCTGCGAGGAGACAGAGGGAGACCCGAGGGGCAGCCCCAGCTGCAGAGGGGCGGTGAGGCCGGCTGTGGCGCTCTGGGCGAACAGGACCCTGGCGTTCCTAAGGCCTGGGCGACGCTCCGGAGACGAGCGGGCCTGGGCAAGAATCGCGTGACTGCGCGCCTCCTTCTCAGCTTTGGTAGGAAACAAATTGCATTCTGGAAAGGTGGTCAAAAACATCTAGAGGCTACAGGACTTTCTGTGGCTTTTAGAGACGTCGCAACGCTTGGTCAAGGGAGAGAAAATAATTGATGCGAGTGGAAATTTTGCCCTTCTCAACTTTAGCGATGATCATCTTTGAGCATGCTCGTCCCTAAGGAGAGGGGGAGAGACGTTCTAGTTAACAATGGAGCGAGTGAACTAGGCCTGTTATTTCTCGCTCAAATATTGCCATACCCAAGAATGTCTTGAACTTTTTTAGAACCTTCTCAAAGGAATTTAGCTTAATTCACTTTGATTTTTTTGGGAGAGTTTATCATTTATCACTTTTGGAAAGTTTACTCTAAAGCAAACGATGAGTTGCCTAAAAGTATAGGAATCGCTAGGAGCAATTATTGCTATAAGCCCACAACAGTTTTGAGCAGAGTTCCAAGTCACTTAATTACTTACTAGTACTCTTTGTCACAGGATAGACATATAGATCATTGGAACAGAACTGAGAGTCCGAAAATAAACAGTCTCATTTAGGGTCAAATGATTTTCAACAAGCTTGCCAAGACAATTACGTGGGGAAAAGGATAGTCTTCAACAAATGGTTCTAGGACAACTGAATATCCCCATGAAAAAGAAGAAAATATGACCCCCATCTCACAGCATATACAAAAATTAACTCAAAATGGATTTAAGACCTAAATGTAAGAGATAAAACTATAAAAATCTTAGAAGAAAACAGGAGTAAATCTTCATGATGTTTAGTTAGGCAATGAGTTCTTGGCAACAAAACCAAAAGCACAAGTTTCAAAAGAAATAATAGATAAATTGGAATTTCTTAAAATTAAAGGCTTTTGTGCTTCAAAGGACACTCTCGAGGAAGTGAAAAGACAAAGCACAGAATGGGAGAAAATATTTTTAAATCGTACATCTGGTAATGAACTGGTACCAAAATATATTTAAAAAAATTAGGATTCATCATGAGCCATCACTTGCAGGAAACCAGCTTCACAAAAGAAGCCTACAAGAAGTACAACCAAGATTCCGTGAACTCAATCAAAGGCGAACTTGAAGAACAGAGACCAGAAAGAGTAAAACCTTTTGTGACAGGGGCTGCGGAACCAATGAAGCCCATCCTTGCTAATTTCAAAAACTGCCAGTTCTTTGCTGGTGAAAACATGAATCCAGATGGCATGGCTGCTCTGCTGGACTGCTGTGTGGATGGTGTAACCCCATATATGATTTTCTTGAAGGATGGTTTAGAAATGGAAAAATGTTAACAAATTTGGCTATAACTTTGGATCTGCACCTGTCGTAACTGGCTGCTGCTTTCATCCACACAACACCAGGACTTAGACAAATGGGACTGATGTCATCTTGAGCTCTTCATTTATTTTGACCTTAATTTATTTGGAGCAGAGGCATTGTTTTTAAGGAAAAAGCATGTCATGTAGGTTTTCTAAAAATAAAATGCTTTTAAACTCAAAAAAAATTACAGTTAATAATAAAGAGACAATTAAAAGGTGAACAAAGGATTGGATAGACCTTTCTCCAAAGAAAATATACAAGTAGCAAATAAGCACAAGAAAAGATATTCAATATCATTTCATTAGGGAAGTACAAATTAAAACCACAAAGAGATACCACTTCACACTCACTGAGATGGCTGTAATCAAAAAGTCAGATAATAACAAGTGTTGACAGGATGTGGAGAAAATGGAACCCTCCAATGTTGCTGGTGGAAATGTAAAGTGGTGTAGCCACTTTGGGAAACAGTCTCTTGTTCCTCAGATGATTAAACATGGAGTTACTCTGTGACCAACAATTCTACTCCTAGGAATATATACCAAAGAGAAATGAAAACGCACAGAATTTGTGCACAAATGTTCATAGAAGCATTACTCACAATAGCCAAAAAGTGGAAACAACCCAAATGTGCAACAACTGATGAATGGATAAACAAAATGTGGTGTATCCATACAATAGAATATGATTCAACAATAAAAAGAATGAAGTACTGATATATGCTACAACATGGATGAACCTTGAAAACATTTTACTAGGTGAAAGAAGCCAGTCACAAAATAAATCACATGTTGTATGATTCCATTTATATGAAATATTCTGAATAAGCAAACTTATAGTGCCTGAGAGTAGATTAGTGTTTGCTTGGGGCTGGGGACACAAATGGTGAGGGAAAGGGGTTAATTGCCATTGACGGTTATATAGTTTTTTTTAAGGGGGATGAAAATGTTCTAAAATTAGATTGTGGCATTGGTTGCACAACTCTGTGAATATACTAAAAGCATTGCATTGCACATGCTAAATGGGGAAGGCAGTTTAAAACATGAGTAGTTATATTTTGTAAAAAACTTTTTGGCTGGGTTCCAGTTTTTTAGTATCAGACATTCTTCAACGTGTGAAAGACTTCAGTGACTAAAAACATCAGACGCTGCATTTTCCTTCCTCTTTGCCCACGTCGGTTTACTTTTCCTGCACCCGTATGAAAAGCATCTAATTCAGTGCTGTGTGTGCCCAGTTTGTCCCTTTTTGAAGCTAAGTGCTAAGAAAACCTTTGCTCCTACCGAGGATGCAGTGTGCTCTCTCTTCCACTCAGAGCTCAATCTTTAGTCTTTGTGGGTTTTTTTCTCTTTAGCAGTTTGATCATAGCTAACTGCAAGGAATCTGGAAAATGCGGTCTAGCTGTGAGCCCAGAAAGGAAAGAAACCAAGTTTTGGTGAGCAGCTGTCCGTCTCTGCTATTAAAACCTACTGTGTACATAGTGCTGTTTTGAGGTTTAAATAGATCAAATACTAAGGTGCTCGGCACGTCACCTATGGTATTCACAGTATTCAGCAAATGGTAACTGGCATTATTATTTGTATACCCCTCATAATGTTGGCCTCGTGCTCAGCGTATGGTAGGTAAGTACGTGTTTGGCCATTACATCAATAGCCTCTCCATCCTGAGATCATTTTAATTGCCTTCTCTGGTCTTTCTCTAACTCATTCTGACTTTTTCCCAACTGCCCAAACAAAAGTCGCACTCAGTGTGCCAGGGGAAATTTCATCAGAGGTTTTTTTCACCTCCCCTACTACAAAAGAATAATAATGTTTCAATTGTGTTTGCAATAATTTTTCTGATTTACCATTTTGTCCCTCTGTGACACATTCTGGGAAAATTTACCATGGTCCCTGATCCTTTCCTGTGTAGCTTGTAAGTTTGAATTATTATTCCCATAACCAGTTAATCATGAAGTTGCTTTTTTTTTCCTTTTTATTTATTTATTTATTTTTATTATTATTTTTTTTATTGAGTTATTGATAGGTTACAATCTTGTGAAATTTCAATTGTACATTAATGTTTGTCAGTCATGTTGTAGGTGCACCACTTCACCCTTTGTGCCCACCCCCCACCCCACCTTTCCCCTGGTATCCACTAAACTGTTCTTGGTCCATAGTTTTAAATTCCTCATATGAGTGGAGTCATACACAGATTATCTTTCTCTCCCTGGCTTATTTCACTTAACATAATTCTCTCAAGGGCCATCCATGTTATTGCAAATGGAATGATTTTGTTCTGTTTTGCAGCTGAGTAGTATTCCATTGTATATATGTACCACATCTTCTTTATCCATTCGTCTGTTGATGGGCACTTAGGTTGCTTCCATGTCTTGGCTATTGTAAACAGTGCTGCAATAAACATTGGGGTGCACAGGACTTTTGGGATTCCTGACTTCAGGCTCTTTGGATAAATACCCAGTAGTGGGAAGGCTGGAACGTATGGTAGTTCTATTTTTAGTTTTTTGAGGAATCTCCATACTGTTTTCCATAGTGGCTGCACCAGTTTGCATTCCCACCAGCAGTGTATGAGGGTTCCTTTTCATGAAGTTGCTTTTAATATTATTCACAAATATCGTAAGTCCAATAGAATGCTCATATGAGCTTTTACTTACCTTACTTTCCGTTTAATTTCATTGCTACTTAATTACAATTACTGTATAATTTTTGCCTGTTACATGAAGGATCTGCGTTACTGGCTAAACTGATAACAGCATCCTTCAGTTTGACCTGCTCTGTGAATGCATCCATCATATGTAAATTCATTACTGTGACCTTGGTTTTTATACTATTTACGATCTGCCTGGTTTTAATTTAATTTCAAAGGCCGTGGTCTTTTCATTTTTGTCAGAATCTCTTTTTTGAACTCAAATTGCTATTTGCATTCTTGGAAAAGGATGAAGCCCATTAAGGCACTGCCCACTGCCTCTTCCTCTCTGACTTCTGGGAGCATGAACACGTCAAGTTCAGTCAGAACATGCTGAGATTATTTTTCTTTTTATCAGAAGAAAAGAATGTCTACTAGCAGATAATACTTTTTATGGTATAATAAAGATCTTCTGGTCTAGCAAAAAACAGAAACATTTCTCTTTGAAGAGGCGAAATAAAAAGAAACCCCTTCGTGT